GGAACCGTCCTGACGATTGGAAGAAATTTAGAATAGCTAGAAATAGGTTGATCTCAGAAATTAGGAAAGCAAAACGCGTATACGATAATAAATTAGATAATAGTGTAAAAACGGAGATCGGCTCTAAATCATGGTGGCGTCTAGTCACAAAGTATATAAATCAAAACAGTTCTAATAATCAGTTTCCTACTGTCATCTATAAAGATAATATATTCGACAACGACCAAGAAATTGCCACAGCTTTAAACGACTCCTTCTCTGAACAAGCTACTGTAGATGAACCCGACAGAGCCGTACCGGACCTCCCCAATAGTCTAAATATGCTGGAGGGAATTGAACTGACAGACAATGAGGTGAGTGTAAGTAAATAAAACCAATGGCCCCGATAACATAAGTAACAAAATCCTTCGAAAAGTTTCAACTATTCTATCCAAGCCTCTAACCAAACTATTCAACCTTTCTCTCCATCTTTCACAATTCAATATTTATGGAAACTGGCATCCGTCGTATCTATATGTTCAAACTATAGACCAGTTGCTTTAACAAGTTGTTTATCCAAAGTCTTTGAGAAGTGCACATTCAAACACACTTACAATTTCTTCCAATGAAATCATACGATTATCAGTGCTCAATCCGGTTTAGACCTGGCGATTCTACGTCGTATCAACTAACTGATTTGTATCAGAGTTTATGTAAAGCACTTGAAGAGGGAAAAGAGATTAGAGCCGTGTTCTGTGATATCAGCAAGGCTTTTGACCGTGTTTGGCATGAAGGTCCTCGGGAATAACTGGAAACCTATGTAAGTGGTTCAAAAGTTACCTACAAAATAGGAAACAATTTGTCGTTATCAACGGTCCTAAATCTACCCAGCGGCCAGTCTTAGCCGGTGTCCCTCAAGGATCAGTGCTTGAACCGCTTCTTTTCCTTATCTATATAAATGATCTTGCTGATGGTATTCTCAGTAACATCAAGCTTTTTGCCGATGATACATCACTGTACGTAATAATTGATGACCCAGAACATTCCTCAATCTTACTGAATAACGATTTATCTCTCATATCGGATTGTTCAAAACGGTGGCAGGTGAAATTTAGCCGAGAGCAAACCGAAGCCATTTACTAAAATTATTTTTCCAGTCCCAAATTCCACCTATATATGAATGACTTCTTTGGTGGCATTTTGAAATTTAGCCCAGAGAAAACCGATCAATGCTATTTACTAAAAGTAATTTTTCCAGTTATTATAAAGCTTGTTCCAAATTCCACTATATATATGAATGGTGTTAGAATATCAGAAGTTAACAGCCATAAACATTTAGATATAACTTTTCAAAATGAAGGGAATTGGCATGATCCCAATTGCCCTCCCATAAATTGTTTACTGAGTCTAAAATATTGTCTTAAGCGCGAAACACTGTTCATCCTCTATAAATCATTCATACTTCCTATATTTGATTACTGCGATCACATTTGGGATAACTGTACAAACGAACAATCTAACCTACTGGAAACTTTACATCTTGACGCTCTCCGAACTATCTGTGGTGCGGTAAGAGGCACAAACCACGAACGTATATACAGGGAAACTGGACTCAGTTTATTGACCGAAAGAAGATACTTCCATAAACTGTGTATGTTATATAAAATGGTCAATGGATTGGCTCCACAATCCTTATCCCTCTGTGTTCCTCCGAACATTTCAGATTTGACTACTTACGAATTACCTAATTCTAGTAACATACGGAACATAATGGGTAGATCCACGTCAGCAGTTCATTTCGATGTATTTTGACAGCAATCGCCATTAAGACAATTCCTATGTTTGAATCCCGTTAATCATGTCGTGGTTGTTGTGTATTGCGCGCAAACGCATCCCAAAATGTGTTTGTAAACGTTTGTCATAATAAATGAAAACGATACATAGAATATGCATGCAGAATTGTTTCCCACGTAATGCACGTGCAGTGTGACGGACACGTGAGTAGAGACATCGACTATAACAGGCCAAACCAAATTGATCATTTCATTACGAATTTTATTAAAAGAATTAAGAGAAGATACAAAAAATGCCGAAATATCGCCATTGGACGTTTGGAAGCAGGGGAGTGCCATTTCAACGTCCACCGAAGCACCATATCTCGATTATGACATCGATATACCCGTTTCAATTCGACCCAAGATCATCCCAAAAGTGGAAGACCAAGAGTGACCACTCCTACTCAAGACCGATTCATCCGGGTGTTTCACCAAGGTCACCGATTGGCTACAGCAACGGACACTGCAGACAGGTGCCTGGTCTTCGAAGAATTTCCGAACAAATCATCAGAAATCGTCCGAGGGAAGTGCGAATTGGAGCATATCGACCAACAGTTGGACCTGTCCTGAAACGACTACACCGACAACGACGTGCCCAATGGTCCAACAGAGTACAAGCATGCAACCTGGGGAACTGACGACGCGTTTGGTTCAGCGATGAATCGCGTTTCCTCCTGCAACGACGGGATGGGAGACGTCTGTCGACGTCAACACGAACTGCGTTCGACAGGTGGACAGATTTGAAGGAGACAGAGCCATGGTATGGGGAGCCATGTCCTACACGGGTAGATCAGAGCTAGTGGTGATTCAAGGCAATCTTACAGCAAATCGCTACATTGACCAAATCATGTGACCTCACCTCCTCCCACTTTTTCACCGCCAGAGGGAGCTGTTTCAACAGGACAAGGTTCGACCCCACACAGCTCGTGTAACAGGTGCCTATCTCGTCAATGCAAACGTAATTGTCTATCCATGGCCTTCGAAATCGCCTGATCAGGACCCGATCGAGCATCTATGGGACGAACTATATCGACGCGTCCATAAACGTCACCATCGTCTTCAGACACTTTCAGAAATTGCCAACGGGTTGCAGGAGGAATGGCGAAGGATTTCCCAAGCAAAAATCCGACGACTTGTGCAGTCCTTTCCAAGGCGGTGACGAGCAGTGACCCCTGCAACGGGTGGTGTCACAAGGTACTGACCTGAACGCTCCCTTGTGTCCACACATGTGCAGTTAGTGAACTGAATTAATGCTGACAATGGCAACAATACATATGTTCATTCATGTGTCGAATTTCCTTCATCTATGTTCAAGCTCAATCGACTTTTGTACACATAAAATACGTTTAATACATTTCCTTTGGGTTTTTTTGGCCTATGCGTTACTTTTGTGTTGTTTTGAAGAGTCTACTTTCAAAAGAGTGCTGGACATCATGCAAATAGTTGTCAGGTGTGCTATCTTTGTTGACCAATGAGACTACACACCAACGTGTAATCCGAAATAGTCACGTGACCAGTTGAGAAACTATCACTAGCTATTACTTCTTTGAATGGTATTTAGAAACTGGTATGCTAATCAGGAACGATTATTTATGGATAGACAGCTTCTTTATTGCAATCGATGTGAGGGTGAAAATTAGCATCTACACCGAAAAGCCGTTCCTGTTCATCACTTGTTATAACGATTTATACATGTTTGCACATAAGACTGTTGAAAGACACATGGCATGGAACAGGTTTCTTTGTCAGCTGCAGATGAATGGCATATCGTTCCATTATGTGGATATTGATGGATATATTCCTCGAATGAGGTAATAGCCTGATAGTATTGCTCTAACTTTAGACGGTTTTGATTTAAATATTTGTATTCGATTGCTGTAGCATCCAACAGAATCGGTCCACTTCATTTGTTTTCACCGTGAAGTTCGACGAGACAGACAGCATACATAAGGGCGAGTGTGTGAAATATGATTCACGAAGGCAGTCAATAAAATGCCTAGATATTACAGTCATGTTATAAATTCGCTTAAAGGAGATCGTGGACTTTTTATGAAGTTCAGAAATGCATAAAATACAATAATAAATTGAATTAGAATTATAAGACAAAAATATGAAGACGTACAATGACTTCGTTTTTATTCAGTGCTAACATATATTACCTCTGGCAGATGAAGTTAAACTTCAAAATGGTTTCATTTGTTGATGGAAATATCAGTAAGTAAAAAAAGTTTTCATTTTTGTTGATTAATGTCGGGATATACATATCATACTTATACAACCAATTGCGCCATTCGTCACTACTCGCCCCTTTCCGTAACCCGCAAGAGGACTCGTCCTCGTCTCGATGCTTGTTATGTGCGAAAATACGAAAATAATCGGTTATTGCATTATGTGTTTGCTTAAAAAAACTAACAAAAATATATACATATTGAAAGCACAAAGAACGTACCTAACAGAACTGTGCTGTCTCGTTTAGATTTCAGTAAGGATAGTGCCATGGACGGCGAGAGATTCAAATACACGCACATGCGTTTGTTGACATAACCGCTCTCATGGGTTCAACTGAGTGTATTTCTGACGATCTTGCGGGCTTGTTTTGTACGTGCGCTTCCAACATTTTTAGGAAATATAATTATAAATCGCTACGAGTTTCAAAACAATAATATTATATGTGAATGAAACTAATCAACTTTAACACTGGGCTTATATTTTACATCTCTGGGGATATTTTAGTCTGACATTTTTGTGGCCATTCATTTTTTTTCAGCAAATTCATTTAAAATTCCACCAGGGGTATGACAGCAAGGTTAAACGAATGTTCAGTTTGAGAAATATGTTAAAGTCCTTTTTGAATATCCGCTTTGGGATTTAATGTAGCTGAATTTTTAATTTTTTTATTTGCATATTCAATAAAACAATTGCCATTTGTGATTATTAAACCCTATTTAGAAATATAATTGAAAATATCAGGTGAACAGCTGGTAATAATTACATTAGAATATGTCTTTAACAAATATGTTTTTCTCCTTCTTTTTGAGGTATCAAAGAGGTTTAGTTCTTTACAATAAATAAGTAAAAACAGCAATACAATGCACGAGTGCTTCGGTGATATTAAGAAACATTGGGATCAAACAGGGATAGAGTTAGCGTTCTTCTTTCAAGTAGTCCTGATGTTCATGCGCCAATATGAAATCCTTCCAGAGGGGTCACGAATGGCTCGCGGGGGCAGAAACAATAGCCAGTCCGTGGGAATTGCTCTGGATCAGTGTCCTTTTAACCGGAAAATGGTGCATTGAGGTCGGGGGAAACCAGGGTAAATACCTTTTAGTTGGCATATTTTAACCTTTAGCTTGCTGAATTAATTCCAGCATAAAGCGCCGTTAAGAGGGTGGGTGATTTCAACAATTAAAAAAGGGACAACTGAACCAATATGTTGCATAGTAATACTATGTAGATAGAAAAAAGAATTTTATGAGCCAAACATATCCTGATATTATTAAATATACAGAGGTTAAGGCCAATGGAAACATAAAGAATGTAACTTTTCTTGAATTTACCTGAATTATGTGATTGTCAGTGGAATGCGTTTCATAATAGAAACCTGTATAACTCGTTAAATCAGCGCAAACCGATTTCAATGTTCTTATCGCTGATGTTTCATCTTAAACTGAATTAAAATTCGTATATATTTATCAGCAAATATCAGCGTGATCGCAAATTAAAAACATTCCTGCAAAATAACATTAGAAAAGAAACCGTATTTTCGATTTCTTACAATCTTTTGTTCAAATGACAATATTAAGTTTATTCCAACGTGTCATGTCACGAAAACTGCAGAACTTAAGACAGGATTTATGAATATTCACCAGTCCTAATATCAAGTGTTATGGTTCGTTATTTTCGAATATGACACACATAAAACTCCGTGTTGCATGTTCGGTACGCGTACGTTTCATTTATTAAAAACAAACGTAGCGCTCTTCGTTTCAGCATAAAATTTATTATTTTCATGTAGATAAGTTTGAATAGTTGATGAGGTAAAAACGAAACTTAAAATCGCGAAATTTAACTTTAGTTTTCGAGTAAGTGCAAAGGTCACCGGATGTTATGTCACAGAGAGGGGTTGTCTGCTAAAAATCTTTCGTTTTTGAATATCAGCTGTAAATCTTGGAGATATTTCGTCTGTCAAACACGTGATACACCAATGACTATTAAGTATGATTAATGATACCTCATATGAATGTTTGTGTGTGTTTTTGACCATGTAATTGGGATATCACAGAACCTGATTGACCGTGCATGCGCCCGTGACCCCGGAAATAGTAGTTGCTCGTTCGAAGAACGAGTTGTTTCTCTGCTCCCATGACATCTTCCAGTTCAATACAAAACATCCAAATGCACTAGTATGACGTTCTATATTTATTATATACCCTATTATCTTGCATTAATCTGTTACTTAATAAAACAAAACCGGCAGAACCGGCAGGGGTTCAATACGGAATCTGGGGTGCAATACGGAATTTGACCACGTTATCCGTATTGCATCCCTGTGTTACTATAACGGCGGTCTGTAAATAATCGAGTCTGGACCAGACAATGCAGTGATCAACAGCATGAGAAAAACAAAGACTCAGTGACACATAATAATGTTGGTAAAAACTTTTGGTATGATCGTTGGTATTCACACTTTCACACTTCTAATTTTCTAATTTACAAATTATTTTGAACCGTGTTTTTTCCATAATATTGTTTATATGTATATTTGTCTTACAATGCAATGTTAACAGCGAATTTGTATATGTCAATATGATATAGTAAGTAACTACTTACAAACAGCTTGCACCAAATATCTAACACAGGGTTTTTTCCCATGGTCACAGAAACTGGTTTCATTCTAAATACTCTCTTGATATTTTGTTTATTTTAGTATCATAGTATCAATCCATTTTGCAAATCTCTTATCCTAACACTTATTGTACATTTTCTTATAAAAATACATTCTTCCATGGTATTGATCAATCACAAACAGCGTCCCACTTTCCACAAATATCTGGAGAAATATCAGCTGAATTAAGTCTGTCATAATATGTCCAATGGGAGAACACAAATGAAGATTTTCCATTAACATTTTGTTTGTTGTATTTCTGGTATATCTCCCATTTTAATACATTTTGTAGTAAAATGCTATATTATGAAACTGCCTTGAATGTTTGTAATAAAATCTGAGTAAACCATTTTCTTGTTCATATAATCTTTATCACGATAGTAGTGATTAAACCATTAAGGCATATTTCTTAAATATTTGTGTAGCTTAAGATATGGAACTGGAAGGTCAATTCACATCCCAAAAATATATCCATGTTTATCTCCACAGCATGAAACTGGAAGGTCAACTGACAGCCTAATGATAGCCATGTTTATTTCCAAAGCATGGAGCTGGAAGGTCAGCTCACAGCCTAATGATATCTATGTGTATCTCCACAGCATGGAACTAGAAGTTCAAATCACAACCTAATGATATCCATGTTTATCTCCACAACATTGAAGTGTAAGGTCAACTGACAACCTATTGAAATCCATGTTTATCACCACAGAGTGAAACTGTCATCTCAACTCACAGTCTAAGGATATCCATGTTTATCTCCACAGCATGGAGCTGGAAGGTCAACTCACAACACAACCATATCACTTCTTATCTCAACTGTATGAAACTGTAATGTGACTCACAATATCTGTGTTTTTCTCCACAGCATGGATCTGGAAGGTATAAATGAAGCTGTAGAGTACGGGGGAAGGATTAGAGAAGAGTTTTCTCTCCAGAAAGGCGAGATATTTCTCAACCATGGATCATTTGGTGCTGTTCCTAAGTGTGTCCAACAAGTGCAACGAAGGTAAATTGCAGCGGATTACATTTTGTGGAAGGCTGGGTGTGTGACCTAACACCAAGTTATTCAATTTTGTTTCTTAGCATATATGAAAAAACGATCAGTGTTGTAAAAGATTTATTTTCCACCATGGACTCACACGCCTGAGACAGCAAATTCCATATAAATTGTATATTGGTGACTTCAGATACCTGGATGAAATGGAGAGACACCCCGATGACTGGTACAGGAGGAATGCTTACACGTACTGGCAGGAATCACAGAAGGCAGCAGCAGACTTCATGCATTGTGAGCAGGAGGATCTCGTGTTTGTGGAGAATACGACCGCAGGTAGAACTTGTAATAGCACCATCTGTCTGACGTTGCAAATGAGCTTTTGTCGCCTTCATTCAGTGACACGTTGGGGACAAGTGTCAGGCAGATAGTGGTTGGTTCAGGGTTTCCTTTTCCTGAATTATCTCACTTGTTGGATTACTTAAGATTCTCGTACAGGGTGGGTTCGAGTCCATGATTACACCGGACGGGTTTGTCAGCACAATAATTGTTTCAGTATAGTTATTCCTCATCATGATCTGATATCACCATCATGCTTGTTCGTTTCAGTTGATCACAGGGGTGGGCGGTTAGGGAGGTTCTTGGATGGGTGATCGTGTGGCCCATGTAGCTCATGTTGTGTCTAATTGGGCAGAAGCCTTTTACCTTAACATGTCTTAGTTTACTCTGGGTACCCGGCAGGGAGGGTTTGGGATGGCTTCTTAGGATTTCAAGGCCTCGATCCTTCTCCACTCTTTAGCGCTTATAACCCATGTGATGTCTGCTTAGACAAACGTTTGACCACTTTCTAAAATGGCATTGTGTATTTCATGATACATTTAACCACAGGTATAAACACAGTGCTGAAGTGCTGCCCTTACAAGCCAGGGGATATTCTGATGTACACAACTCTGACATTTAGGCCTGTAGCCTACACCTGTCAGGCCACAGCGGATCTCTTTAAGGGTGAGGCGGCGGAAAATTGAAAAAAATAATAATATTGAGTTATTGGAACGCGGATCCACAAACTGCTGATGTGGTGATATATGTGACGCTCATATCATTTCTTCATTGAATTTATACTTAATAAACTGACTAGAAATGAATTGATAGACTCACTAAATATTGTGAAGTGTGAAAGGTTCACGTGACATGGATACTGATATGATGCTTGTTGACATTTCACCTTTACCTAGTCATGTGAACGGAACATTGTATGAATGCACATGTGTGAAAAAACACGAATGGTTGAGTTAGCTATGTCAATGTACATACGCATACGTATACGTTTCTGTATTTTTAAATGTCTTTTCTGACGTTTAAGGCGTTATTTGTAAATAGGAATATACGCCAATCTGTGGCAGGGTACGGTATGATAACTTAAGCCAATCCTCAACGTGAACAGAATATGTTAAACTACACTTGGAAGAATCCAGGGAAGTGTGTACCGAAAAGGGCGTGTATGCGTGTGTGTGTGTAAATGTGATTTTTTGGTGTGTGTCTGTGTGTGTATTAGTTTGTGTGAATGAGTTGATGTGTTGGTTTGTGTGTATGTGTTTTGTGTCTGTGTGTGTTGGTCTGTGTGTATTGGTTTGTGTGCCGGTATGAGTGTTGGTTTGTGTGTATATATATGTGTGTGTGTGTCTGTGTGTATATGTTGTGTGCCTGTATGAGTTTGGGTTTGTGTGTATTTGTTTGATAATTTGTGTGTATGTGTGAATATGTTGGTGTTTATGTGAATGTATTGGTGTGTACGTGGATGTGTTGGTTTGTGTGACTTTGTTGGTTTGTGTGTGTGCGTGTGTATGTGTTTATATACATGTGAATGTTGGGGGATAACAGGGAATCAGGGAGGTTCACAGAAACTCCAAACAATAAGAAAAACAATTCGCAACTTGTGAGGCATAATACACACAATACTATTGTGAACATATTGAACACACAATGCTACTGTAAACAATATGATGACTTCAGAAAGTGTTCTCCATGTGCTTCTTGTTGACAATTGGGTGTGGTAATACTATGTGACATGGTGAAGTCCGACTAACATACCCACGTTTGTCTGATATCCATTGATTATGTTCCTTCGATTATCAGGAGTTCACACATTTGAGATGGAGATCCAATTTCCGATATTTAGTGAGGATGAGATTTGTGAGAAATATGAAGACTTCTTCCAATCCAACCCCAACACGAAAATTGCAATCATAGGTGAGTGCCTAAACAATTTTACCATATCTTGAGCTTGTGCTCAATTTAACGAAATTGGAAAGAGGTACTTTTCCTCAAACATGGTCAGTTGGATATTTGAATAGTATGGATAACTATAGAGGCATCACCGTATTAATAACAGATTGATTTTTGTGGGGGAAACAATGGACACACTGAATGAATCACAGACAGGCTTTAGACAGGGATATACTACTATTGATAACATGTTCATACTACAGAGTGTTGTACAAAAATATCTTAATAATCAAGGGGTAAATTCTATACACTATTTGTTGATTTCTCTAAAGCTTTTGATTCTGTACAAAGACATAAGCTATGGGATTTATTTAAAACATGTGGTTTGGGTAGTAAAATGACAAACCTAATGAGCAGCATTTATGAGAAAGTGAAAGCTTGTGTTAGGAATAAATATGAACTATCAGAATCTTTGATGTGCAAATTGGTGTTAGACAAGGCTGTGTACTGACAATTGAAAATAATTGCAGAAATGGCATTCAGTTACATCCAGATGTGTTCCAACTTTCTCTTTTATGTTGTTTGCAGATGACATTGCCCTTATTTCAAGTATAATTATTGGTCTTACAAATTAATGAATTAGAAAGTTATTGCGAACAGTCTAAACTGAATGTGTATATGAGTAAAAAAAGTAAATACTTTCAAGAAAGGAAGTAAATTGTCTCGACATGAAAAATGATATTATAAAGGCAATCAAATTGAATCAACAACCTCATATAAATACCTAGGTGTATATTTACTAATTATCTTTCCTGGTCAACCCATGCAAAGTACGCATCTATTCAAGCACAAAAGGTATACTGAAAATTAAAAATACTTGGAGATTTAAAGTTCGCATCCTTTATCGGAATATTTGATGTTTAAGTTAGTCCGATCCTTTTATACGGGTTGAAAGTTCAGGATCTCAATATTTTGACCAAATAGAAAGAGTTAATTTATTTGCATGTAAGAAGTTTCTTGGGGTAAAGATGAGCATGGTGTGGTGACTGTGGCAGGTGTCCTCTAAGTATAAATTCACAAGTTAAAGTAATCAAATATTGGCTAAGACTTTTAGGTATTATGTCCTCGTAATGTTTACCAAAGAAGTGTTATGAAATGATGCTTTCATATGATAGAAATGGACACACAAATTGGGTAACGAATGTAAACAATTTTTTATCTGCAACAAGTTTTAATCGCATGACATGTGGTATGAGCAGTGTGTTGAGTTTCCCTCAACATTTATTAGTTTATTTGCGCAAAGATTGAAAGTTATATAGTAACAAAACTGGCTTGAAAATCTTTCCTTTTCCACGAAATGTGATTACTATTCATATTTTAAACCATACATTTATACTGAGCATTATATATGATGTGTCACGATAAAAAAACATTTAAAGTAAGCTAACCATGTTTTCGCTGATGCACATGATTTGTGGATTGAAGATGAAAAGAGAATATAGATTATGATTATGTAAATCATGCAATATTTATGTCTCAGAAAACGAATACCAATTTTTGCTCGCATGTCCATTATATGATAAACTACGTAGAAAGTACCTTAAAGAATTTTATTATGTCCATCCATCTATAAATAAATTTTATTCCTTATTAAACTGCAACAACCATGATATGATTCCGAATGCTGCTAAGTTTATATGTCTCGCTATGAAACTCAGAAAAGAATAATCACCATCGAGGATCGTCTGAACGTCATAATGGTATGAAAATAATAATATCAATATCGTATATAAAACTGCTCTATATTGTACTACTATATATTGTACTGTAGGCATATGGCCTTTGAGTATTGAATAAAGATTGATTAATTGAACAATATTTACGTTATCCAGCAAAATTATTATTTTGGTTATTTATTCGAAGATGCTGAGATCCCAAGATACCCAAGATGCTGAGAAGGTTCCTATTTCACGAGGAGTCGTAGAGCTAAGTCTGTCATAGGTGTTTTTTCAAATGTGAGAATCACAGCTCTACCATCAGTTCGCGAAACGGAGCCCTGGCCTTTCTTTGGATTTATGTGTCTGATAGAATCGAAATGTGTTGATCATTATTAAGCGTGTGAATGGAACATTTTGCAGCACTCCGATATTCCAGGTGGTTGCAGTTAGCGTTGCGGTTCGGCCAAAATAGTTTGTTGGGCAACTATCTGTCCACAGTATCGGTATACAATGACACACAGTGACAGCATGGCTAAACATTACGAGGGCGATTTTTGACGACTCTAGGCGACTCCCATACAACATTATTAGCAGATGTAAGTGCATCGTCATGGGGGCTGTGGAACATGTGTTTTTGAAGCAGGTATTTCTCGGTTTTGCCATGGAGACACACTCATATTATCTTGGGGACCGATATTTTTTATTTTTTATTTTCGGGACCGATATTTGTTATGGGTATACTGATTGGTTAGTTGGTTGGTGTTTTACGCCGCACTCAGCAATATTCCAGCTGTATGAGAGCTGTGTGTAAGTACTAGTAATCGAGTCTGGACCAGACAATCCAGTAAACATCATAAGCATCAATCTATGCAGTTAGGATACGATGACATGTGTCAACCAGAGCCCCGTTCCACAAAACGATCGTAGCGCTAAGATGATCGTAACTCCCATACTTTAACATAGACTTACGACTGTCGTAGCGCTACGATCGCTTTGAGGAATGAGCCCCAGGTCAGCGAGCCTGACCACCCGATCCCGTTAGTCGACTCAAGCATGGGTTGCTGAAGACCAAATCTAACCTGCATCTTCACGGGTCCGTTTCATGAAGCGATGGTAGAGCTACTGTGGTCGCAATTCTCACAGTTTAACGAATACTTATGACAGTCTTAGCGTTAACGACTGCTCGTGAAATAGGAACCTGCTCAGCATCTTAGGCATCTATGCATCTTAGAATCTTCTCAGGATATTAGCATCTTCGTATGAATAAGCAAAATAATGATTTTGCTGGATAACGTAAATATTGTCTTATGTTTGTATTGACCTTAACCTGTGATTGTATGTCAGATGCCATCACCAGTCCATCAGCTGTGGTGATGCCGTTGAAGCGCCTCGTAGATCTGTGTCACAGGTATGGAGTTATGGCCGTCGTAGACGGTGCACATGCTGTTGGTACACTTCCAGTCAATCTCACCGAACTCGGCGCCGATGTCTTTACGGGTAATTTGGATCTCATACCTAAGGAGAAAGAATTTATACAGACAGGTTTTCACGGATTGTTTTCGATTCAAAAACAAATTGTAACACAATTTCCAGGAACTTTAAACACACTTCTAAGAAAAAAAAATAGTTCATGGTGCATGCAATTTCGTAAATGGATAATATTTCAAGTGTACAAATGAGACAGCTGCCTTCAGTTTTGCAGCTGCGTTATGTATTACTCAAATCATACCGAATTCGATTCACCGATTGATTATGGCTTTACGCCGCATTTGGCAATATTCCAGCAGTATTACCTATAAATTATATTCTCACATTGAATCCAAGTGAGAATCGAGAATTTTCGGCGTGACGGGCGATCGCATTAACTTTCAGACTGACTCGATGCCCAAGGTATAAAACTTTAGCTAAATAACATCAATGTACACCGTCTATGTTAGGAAATGTAACATAATGAACAAATAGCTAAATCCCTAACGCTATAAGCCCTTCCCTCACCCCTAATCCACAGTCTGATGCCTAATCCCATCCCTCATCCAAACCATTTCTCCAACACCCGGAAGTAATGGCGTTTACATGTTCCATATAAGGTTCCCAGTATTTAATTATAAAATAATAACATTGTAATTTTATTTGATGCCAGTGACTACTGGCATGCTCGTGGCACAAAAAAACTACAAACATGAAAAATATATAATCAGTAAAATCCCTTGAAGGCAGCCGATACGTGTTTAAATGCTAGAAGCTCCCCCAAAGACGGAGACAAGCAGGTGCAACTGAAAGTAGAGGTTGATTCTGAGACACGTGAACAACATATATAGAACTCTAAAATCTATACGGAATATAACAGGTATGGGAAATAACGCCGCACACAACAATATTCCAGCTATGTGGAGGCGGTCTGTACATAATTGAGTCTTGACCAGACCATCCAGTGATCAACATCATGATCATCGATCTGGGATAACAGAACATGTGTCAACTAAGCCAGCCAACCTGGGTGCCGTTGTACAAAGCGATCTTAGCGCTAAGGTGACCGTAACCCTCATACCTTAACGTATACTTAAGGTAGTCTTAGCGCTAAGGTTGTTTTGTACAACGGCACCCTGATCACCCGTCCTGATAGTCGCCTCTGACGACAAGAATGGGCTGCTGAAGACCAATTCTAACCCGTGTCTCCACGAGTGCTCAATTCTGTACTTTTTGGAACTTTAGCATTTATTTCTTTTACAGGCAGTTTCCACAAATGGCTGTTCACTCCCAGGGGCTGTGGAATGTTATACGTGAAGCAGGAACATCATACCTGGGTTCGTCCGCTGGTGACATCCTGGTTCCACGGACTGTCCCTGGACAAACAGTTCTTCCTAGTGGCTACTGCAGACCAGACCCCATTCACCACTGCCAAATATGCATTTGAATTCTACCAGCGGATTGGAGGAATGGTAACTAACAGCAGCTCGGTGGCTGAATATATTTTGGTTTTGTTTCCAAAACAACATTCTGTATTACACAATTGCTAGCTTTTCGATTAACCAAACACCTCGATACATCCCCATAATTCTTAAATTACCCGCCCTTAAGTTTCATAAACGTTTTACCAGCCAAGGAGTACTGGGTGAACGAATAACGATGATAAACGAGTGAGTGAGAGAGTTACAATCTTTTGTCACATCGGCAATATTTCAGCCATATCGTGACGACAAAAAGTCATTAACTTAGAATAAATATATGACAGTATATTTTTTAAAAACGCTGTCAGCAAAGGACAGCATAACAACCAGATTATCACACATTAATTGAAACTAGTTTCAGTTTAGTGTAAGATGCCAGGGAAGCATGGAGATATAGCAGGTGACAGAACATTTATCATTACATACCACCACAAATATAGACGGAAATGTGTATATTGCTATTGCTATCTTAATTTGAATGACCAGCTATCGGTCACACCTACTTGGGTTGTCAGTCCAGATTTGAAGAGGTCATCATGCGACGGTGTCGTATTTGCCATACTAGATATACTCATGAATACCTGTTAAAAGGTGAGGATCCTCCGTTTTGTATCCCTTGTGATGAAAGAATCACGGTCAAGCATTCACCACTGCCAAATATGCATTTGAATTCTACCAGCGGATTGGAGGAATGGTAACTAACAGCAGCTCGGTGGCTGAATATATTTTGGTTTTGTTTCAAAACAACACTTCTATATTACACACAATTGCTAGCTTTTCGATTAACCAAACACCTCGATACATCCCCATAATTCTTAAATTACCCGCCCTTAAGTTTCGGCATAAACGTTTTACGCAGCCAAGAGAGTACTGGGTGAACGAATAACAATGATAAAACGAGTGGTGAGAGTTACAATCATTTGTCAAATCGGCAATAATATTTCAGCCATATCATTGACGACAAAAAGTCATTAACTTAGAATAAATATATAAGGCTGTATATTTTAAAACGCTGTCAGCAAAGGACAGCATAATGTCAGCAAAGGACAGCATAACAACCAGATTATCACACATTAATTGAAACTAGTTTCAGTTTAGTGTAAGATGCCAGGGTTTAATGAAATGCGAATCATGGAGATATAGCAGGTGACAGAACATTTATCATTAAAGATCACCACAAATATAGACGGAAATGTGTATATTGCTTTCTTGCATCTTAATTTGAATGACCAGCTATCGGTCACACCTACTTGGGTTGTCAGTCCAGATTTGAAGAGGTCATCATGCGACGATGTCGTATTCGCCATACTAGATATACTCATGAATACCTGTTAAAAGGTGAGGATCCTCCGTTTTGTATCCCTTGTGATGAAAGAATCACGGTCAAGCATGTCCTGCTTGACTGCATTGATTTTTTCATCAAAAGGGATAAATATTTCAATGTCAAAACAGTGAAGGATCTTTTTAATGTTAATTATCATTTAATCATTGAATTTTTAAAAGAAATAGAATTACTAGATAAATTTTGATCAGTGGTTTGTAAATAGATAAATATTTTATTATTGGTAGTTTAGATTAGTAACTGAGATTGTTAGTGGCTGTACCCTCAAACGGGGTTGAAGTATTGTAAAATTATTGTCCCCCTGAGAGGGTAGTAAGTCCCAAAACATTCAAGGTAAATTTAAACCTACTATTAGTTTTAATCGTAGTATATATGTTCTTTTAAATTGTGGCTAGATTATCTAAAATTGCTAATAGCTGACGGGATGGTGTAAATCCACCTAGGGTCCATGCAGGAAGCAAATGTACTGTAAGTCCCCATGGTCCCTACCTTCAGTTGTTGGCAATCCATAGCCTAATTTTACATTGTATTGTCATTTCTAGTTAAATTGTTTAGATTTAATTACTAGTATTAAATGTATATCTGTGATATACTAGTAGTTTTACTGTTCTTCGTTAACAGGCTTTTAATTTCTAATTTGACTGATATATGATATAATAATTAATTGTTCTCGTCACGATATGACTGAAATATTGCCGATGTGACCATAAATAATAACTCACTCACTCACTGACTTAATTTGAATGAATTGTATGTATGTAAAGTGGGTTGAATATTAAAAACATAATAGTAATCATATGGCAAACTATCATGCTTTACGCAGCTTCTCGAAGATTGATTGCAAATTGGAAAGTTATCTAGTCATGTTCATGTCGTGAATCTGTTTCAGGATAAGATCATCGGCTACGCATCCAGTCTCGCCACAGAGGCACATGAGTATATTCTCAAGAAGCTCCAAGCAGAGCCATTACAGATACCTCAGAGTATGGAGTCTCCCACAATGAGGGTGATTCGTCTGCCAGACTTGCCTCAGTACCCATGTACACGAGTACGTGCCAAGTATTTGCCACTTATATCATACATTTGCAAGAAAACTTTGACGCGAGGCATCAGCCCTGTATCATGCGTTTATTGAAATGGCAAACAAATTAAATGTACAAGACAATTTTCCCCAAAATCAGCACGGGCTTGGTCAGAACAATATTAACAATTCTGGTTTCAATTCATTCTGTTACATCTACACCTTTTTCTGACTACTGCCACTTTGGCACCTCCCATGATTTCAGTAAACTGCCTTAACAAATTCTGTATTGGAAAACCCTTAGTCAAAACAACTGTTTAACAATTATGAAACATACAACTTTATGGATGACAACTTCTTATTTATTGCATATAGCGACGTTACATCGAAGCACTTTTAGCTTGATAACGTTGTCATCCATAACGTTGCATGTTTCATTTTTGACTCACCAACTTCTAGAATGCCTATCAAACAATGTTTAACAATTGTTTAACAATTGACAGAAGTGCACATGCTTTGTAACTATTCAAGTCCCATAGACATTTCGGAACACCAGAAAGTAGACCTGAAGATTGCATTGTTATCTCAAATTTACATTTTAAGTAATTACAATGGCAAGAAACGCTATTCGGAAGGTGACATAAAAACATAAGAAAGAAAATATCGTTTTGTTGGCTGTTTGCTGTCGAGGCGAGGTTCAAGCCTGGCAGCATTCGGCTCATACACCTTGTTCATTATTCCCTCTCAATGCTGTGACAAATATCCTTATACAGTTTATGAATTTATGGGTTTTGTTACAATTAAAACTGAACACTTTACAACATAGGGTAATGTCTAAAACACATATACCAAAGCTGCATTGTCACAGATAATTGTAGACAAATATTTAGAATGCAAGACCTTGTACACTTACCCCAGAAGTCACATAAACGTTTTTACAGAACTGTTACAAATAGACTTTTTCTTTCTTACAATTGAATATAGATCCTGCACAAGACGTATGACACTTAAGTATGTAATAACGTGTGAAACTTGACCAACTATGATGATACCTACTTGGGTTTTGGGTGGGTGAGTAAGAGAGTGGGTGAGCCGCATTTAGCAGTATTCCACAGAAGATTATCTTCACACAGATTCCATACGGAGAATCGAACCCGGACCATAGACATGACGATGGCTGGCTGGTTTGTTTCTTAACGCCGCACTCAGCAATATTCTAGCAATATGGCGGCGGTCTGTAAATAATCGTGCCTGGACCAGATAGTCTAGTGACCTACATTATGAGTATCGATCCACGAAAATGAGATACGATGAAATATGTCAAGCAGGTCAAAGAGCCTGATCACCCGATCCAGTTAGTCGCCTCTTCCTGAAGTTAGTATTATTGCTGAAGACCAATTCTAGCCCAAAACGTCAAGGGTCGTAATGGTTAAGGATAATTCTGCAATCTAATAAACCAATCATTGCTCAGTTTTTGCCAAAGGCGTAACAGTCATGTCATCTAAATTACAGGAAGGATCGATCGCATTCCACACAGACATGCGCAACAAGTACAACATCCAGTGTGCCATCGAGTTGATCCAGGGTCATCTACATCTCCGCATCAGTACCCAGGTATACAACACGATGGAGGAGTACAAGCGACTGGCAGACTGTCTCCTGGAAGTCATTCAAACTAGCAGGAAACCCTAGACTAACTAGTTCTGGCCTCACAAATCCGAACATACCACGTGTAATTTGTGTAATGTTCAAACGTTTTGAGTAGTTGCATTTTCAGCTTTGGTTGGGTTTGCTTTGGTTGTTGCTTCAAGCCGGTTAGAATAGGTCTTCAGCAGCTTGTCGTAAGAGGCGACTAACGGGATCGGGTGGCCAAGCTCGTTGACTTGGTTGACACACGTCATCGTATCCCAGTTGTGTAAATCGATTCATACGTTGTTGATTGAATGGTCCAGACTCGATCATTTACAGACCACCGTCATAAATCTGGTATATTGCTGAGTGTAGCGTAAATCACCAACCAAACAAAAATATCATAGTATACCCGTAACAAATATCGTTTAGTTGAGTTGAGTTGCGTTGAACATCACATCGGGATTATTCCATCCAGAAAGCTGGTGTTGGCGATCTATAGCTTGTTTTATATTGTATTGTCCAAATAGTGCTATCAGTTTTAACTCTCCATACTAGTTTTAGTGGTAATTGTGATATTCTAGTTGTTTTACTGTCCTTTGTCGGCAGGTTTTCTAATCTCTATATATATTCTGTTTCAAATGTCAAAGTGTTCTCGTCACGATATGGCTGAAATATTGCCGATGTGACGTTAAATAATAACTCACTCACTCCTCACTCCATCCAGAAAGCGTCGAGACTAAGTCTGCATTCATACACGTTTAAAGTACTAAGTCCATATGAGCTTTTTAAAACATATATATTTATTATGTTATTAATTACAAGCAGAACATGTCATAACACCAAATTAAAAAACAATCAATCCGTCATTCACATTACATAGTTACAATTTATGATATAGATCAATTTCAATTAAATAGTTCAAAATGAGATTCCCGCTGATCCGGAAAAACAGATCTTTCAGATTCCTTGCTTCATAAGTGAGTCCCTCGCAGTTGAGAAGCACACAGTCAAGCTGAATATGCTTGATGGTGAACACTTCATCGCAGAACACACACATTGGAGGTCGATCTCCATCCGTTTTCAGCAGATAGTCATGAGTAAACTGACTGTGGCCAATACGACGTCGTCGTACCATTGCCTGACCTCGTCTCGACTGACAACGCAATTAGGTATAACCGATTCTTGGTTTCAGTTCGTGAAGTTTATTTCTTCCTACCCGTGTGTTCCACCTTTTTTGCTCAATGTCCTGTGTGTAACTTTTGATAGTGGGTTTGAAATCACTGTACGTGATCAGTAGTGAAGCTAACGGCCGCTTGTCAAGAGCTGACTTAGCTGCGGTTTTTGTGTTACCTGCTATGTCTACGTGACCCGGTGCATAACAAATATCGGGCGGAGAATGGTCCCTTGTACAATAACTGTGTGTGTCTCATCGCAGCCTAGTAATATCTGCCTCAAGAGAACCGGTTTGGCGATGCAGTTACATCTGCGAATAATTTTTGTGTGGTAATCGGCTAGAGTCGTCAAAATCGCCGTCATAATCTCTGTGTGTCATTGCATACCGACACTGTGGACAGTTAGCCATCCACCAAACTGTTTCGGGCCGAACCGCAAAGCTAACCGATCCACGTGAAACATCGTGCTGCGGAAACCTCCAAATGTTCCACACATTTTCGATCCTCCCAGACACATAAACGCAACCAAAGAACAGGGCTCCGTTTTTGAGTGGTTGGTTGGTTGGTTTCTTATTTAACGCCGCACTCAACAATATTCCAGCTGTATGGCGGCGATCAGCAAATAATCGAGTCTTGACCAGACAATCCAATGATCAACAGCATGAGGATAGATCGACGCAATTGGGATACGATGACATGTATCAACCAAGTCAGCGAGCCTGACCACTCGATCCCGTTAGTCGCCTCTTACGGCAAGCATGGGTTGCTGAAGACCAATTCTAAGCCGGATCTTCACGGGTTAATATTGCAATTTCAGAATGAAAAAAGTTTGGCACCTTCTTGTTATTGTAAATATTTATTGAAAATGTTTTTTCCGGAAAAGGAGCATTGCACCGTCGGGGTAGGCTATTTTGTTTTGGGCGGTTGGAATCTCAAAACAAGACATCTGTATTAATTACAATACTGAGCATTACGATATGATTTTTAAAAAATCCTATCTTATAGAAGTGGGTTTTATGGCTTTTTCGTTTGATCTTCTACTGTTTCACAAGAGAAACTCCGGAGAGGCAATCTTTAGTTTCGTCATCAAGTTTTACAAGCAGCATCTTGCAGCCGTCACCGACAGCCTTACATCCACTGGGGGCTTGGATAACGCCCGCCTTGATGCCGAATCTGCAAGAAACGAAAACAAAAGCTGTGATTACATATCCCATTATCGTTACAAAACGGATGTTTGATTGGCATTTTAGAAGATAAAGAATAATATAAGATTGATTGGTTGGTTGTTGTTTAAAGCAATATTCCAGTTAAAAGGCAGCGGTCTATAAATAATCGAGTCTGCACCAGACAATTTAGTGATCAACAGCATGAGCATCATTCTACGCCATTGGGATACGATGACATGTGTCATCCATGTCAGCGAGCCTGACCGCCCGATCCCGTTAGTCGCCCAACGACAAGCATGGGTTACTGAAGACCAATTCTAAGCCGGATCTTCACGGGCCAAGAAAATAATAAGAAAGGTAATACTTTATGGATGTAGCTTCTTTATTATGTTGTCATCCATCATATTATGATAAAAAGTTGTCACCCATAAAGTATCATACCTTTCTTACTCAAACTTCATACCTTGCACTCAAAACAGATCATTCGCCATCTACTTGGAGACGTGGCAATCATATTTTCAAAAGCCTCTCATAATATGAGAAAGAAATGTCCATCCATAAGGTATTACCTTTCTTATTATTTTCTTGGCCTGTGAAGATCAGGCTTAGATTTGGTGGTTACAGTACATATTCAGCTTGAAGCGCACAAAATCCGCTCTAGACCTTACAAAGTATTCTCATTGCCAGACAATGTTATCCTAATAGTTTCTTTACCTTAATGTTCATAATTTGTTTTGCTATGTTTGTTAGTTCGATTCAGATTTTATCTTAAACATATTCAGTATTTTCTTGTTTATGTTCGGTGCTTCAGCCTTGTAATAACGCGAAGATAATCATTATATTTTCGTTGTAAATCAAACGACAGATTACCTCGAGGTGAAAATGGGCACTTGTTTATCGATTAATTAAGACATTCTCCTATAACAAATTATCAGCACAAAGTAACACCCTGATGTTCTGAAACTGTCGTATTTGTACCTTTGTCAACACTTTGTTAGCTCACACAGATCCTATTTTCGCAGCCAATTTCTTGGCTTCTAATCCCTTCAGCGGAGTCGTTATATTGTTATTATTATCCTGTATTAATTACATCACTAACAATCATCATAACAATGAAGTTTCAAATCTTCACCTTCTTCAAAGCCCATCGAAAGCACACAGTGTGTTCGTCCTGGGGAGAGCAGGTACTCGGGGTAATTAGAGCTATAAACGTAGGAAGTGGAACTTAATTATGAACTGACTCCTAGTGATATGTCTGACTGAATATGCATGACAACGTTGTCTGTGAACCTAATGCATTTTTGTTTAATCGTCTGTACTTGCCCACAACAGCTGAGACCATTGGCATCACAGGTACACTCGATACAGTCAGCTGTCTTAATGTGAGATCCGACCTGCATCTTTAATCCTTTGTACATGCAGTACTGAGTGATTGTTCCATATTCTGGGAAGCAAAATAACAACAAAAAGCAAAATAAAAAAAGCACAACAAAAAACAAACAAAAATAACCCGGAAAAGAAAAACAAAAAAAACCCAAAACACGTGAAGTATTATTGGAAGATTCTCCTGTGTGGAGTGTTCTTACTTCCAAGAATTGCCTGAGCAGTGGTTGCTGCAGTCTGGGTCCTGTTCCGGAGACCCGTGAAGGTCCGGGTTAGAATGTGCCTTCAGTAACCCATGCTTGTCGTAAGAGGCGACTAACGGGATCGGGTGGCCAAGCTCGTTGACTTGGTTGACACACGTCATCGTATCCCAGTTGTGTAAATCGATTCATACGTTGTTGATTGAATGGTCCAGACTCGATCATTTACAGACCACCGTCATAAATCTGGTATATTGCTGAGTGTAGCGTAAATCACCAACCAAACAAAAATATCATAGTATACCCGTAACAAATATCGTTTAGTTGAGTTGAGTTGCGTTGAACATCACATCGGGATTATTCCATCCAGAAAGCTGGTGTTGGCGATCTATAGCTTGTTTTTATATTGTATTGTCCAAATAGTGCTATCAGTTTTAACTCTCCATACTAGTTTTAGTGGTAATTGTGATATTCTAGTTGTTTTACTGTCCTTTGTCGGCAGGTTTTCTAATCTCTATATATATTCTGTTTCAAATGTCAAGTGTTCTCGTCACGATATGGCTGAAATATTGCCGATGTGACGTTAAATAATAACTCACTCACTCACTCACTCCATCCAGAAAGCGTCGAGACTAAGTCTGCATTCATACACGTTTTAAGTACTAAGTCAATATGAGCTTTTTAAAAACATATATATTTATTATGTTATTAATTACAAGCAGAACATGTCATAGCACCAAATTAAAAAACAATCAAATCCGTCATTCACATTACATAGTTACAATTTATGATATAGATCAATTTCAATTAAATAGTTCAAAATGAGATTCCCGCTGATCCGGAAAAAACAGATCTTTCAGATTCCTTGCTTCATAAGTGAGTCCCTCGCAGTTGAGAAGCACACAGTCAAGCTGAATATGCTTGATGGTGAACACTTCATCGCAGAACACACACATTGGAGGTCGATCTCCATCCGTTTTCAGCAGATAGTCATGAGTAAACTGACTGTGGCCAATACGACGTCGTCGTACCATTGCCTGACCTCGTCTCGACTGACAACGCAATTAGGTATAACCGATTCTTGGTTTCAGTTCGTGAAGTTTATTTCTTCCTACCCGTGTGTTCCACCTTTTTTGCTCAATGTCCTGTGTGTAACTTTTGATAGTGGGTTTGAAATCACTGTACGTGATCAGTAGTGAAGCTAACGGCCGCTTGTCAAGAGCTGACTTAGCTGCGGTTTTTGTGTTACCTGCTATGTCTACGTGACCCGGTGCATAACAAATATCGGGCGGAGAATGGTCCCTTGTACAATAACTGTGTGTGTCTCATCGCAGCCTAGTAATATCTGCCTCAAGAGAACCGGTTTGGCGATGCAGTTACATCTGCGAATAATTTTGTGTGGTAATCGGCTAGAGTCGTCAAAATCGCCGTCATAATCTCTGTGTGTCATTGCATACCGACACTGTGGACAGTTAGCCATCCACCAAACTGTTTCGGCCGAACCGCAAAGCTAACCGATCCACGTGAAACATCGTGCTGCGGGAACCTCCAAATGTTCCACACATTTTCGATCCTCCCAGACACATAAACGCAACCAAAGAACAGGGCTCCGTTTTTGAGTGGTTGGTTGGTTGGTTTCTTATTTAACACCGCACTCAACAATATTCCAGCTGTATGGCGGCAATCTGCAAATAATCGAGTCTTGACCAGACAATCCAATGATCAGCGGCATGAGGATAGATCTACGCAACTGGGATACGATGACATGTATCAACCGAGTCAGCGAGCCTGACCACTCGACCCCGTTAGTCGCGTCTTACGACAAGCATGGGTTGCTGAAGACCAATTCTAAGCCGGATCTTCACAGGTTCCAATTTCAGAATAAAAACAGATTGGCACCTTCTTGTTATTGTAAATATTTATTGAAAATGTTTTTCCGGAAAAGGAGCATTGCACCGTCAGGGGTAGGTTATTTTGTTTTGGGCGGTTGGAATCTCAAAACCAGACATCTGTATTAATTACAGTACTGAGCATTACGATATGATTTTAAAAAAATCCTATCTTATAGAAATGGGTTTTATTGCTTCTCGTTTGATCGTCTACTGTTTCACAAGAGAAACTCCGGAGAGGCAATCTTTAGTTTCGTCATCAAGTTTTACAAGCAGCACCTTGCAGCCGTCACCGACAGCCTTACATCCACTGGGGGGCTTGGATAACGCCCGCCTTGATGCCGAATCTGCAGTAAAGGATAACAAAAGCTGTGATTACATATCCCATTATCGTTACAATACGTATGTTTGATTGACATTTTAGAAAATAAAGAATAATATAAGATTGATTGGTTGGTTGTTGTTTAAAGCCGCACTCAGAAATATTCCAGCTGTATGGCAGCGGTCTGTAAATAATCGAGTCTGGACCAGACAATTCAATGATCAACAGCATGAGCATCATTCTACGCCATTGGGATACGACATGTGTCAACCATGTCAGCGAACCTGACCGCCCGATCCCGTTAGTCGCCTCTTAAGACAAGCATGGGTTACTGAAGACCAATTCTAATCCGGATCTTCACGGGCCAAGAAAATAATAAGAAATAATTAGATTTGGTGGTTACAGTACATATTCAGCTTGAAGCGCACAAAATCCGCTCTAGACCTTACAAAGTATTCTCATTGCCAGACAATGTTATCCTAATAGTTTCTTTACCTCAATGTTCATAATTTGTTTTGCTATGTTTGTTAGTTCGATTCAGATTTTATCTTAAACATATTCAGTATTTTCTTGTTTATGTTCGGTGCTTCAGCCTTGTAATAACGTGAAGATGATCATTATATTTTCGTTGTAAATCAAACGACAGATTACCTCGAGGTGAAAATGGGCACTTGTTTATCGATAAATTAAGACATTCTCCTATAACAAATTATCAGCACAAAGTAACACCCTGATGTTCTGAAACTACCGTATTTGTACCTTTGTCAACACTTTGTTAGCTCACACAGATCCTATTTTCGCAGCCAATTTCTTGGCTTCTTATCCCTTCAGCGGAGTCGTTATATTGTTATTATTATGTATTAATTACATCCTAACAATCATCATAACAATGAAGTTTCAAATCTTCACCTTCTTCAAAGCCCATCGAAATCACACAATGTGTTCGTCCTGGGGAGAGCAGGTACTCGGGGTACTTAGAGCTATAAACGTATGAAGTGGAACTAAATTATGAACTGACTCCTAGTGATATGTCCGACTGAATATGCATGACAACGTTGTCTGGGAACCTAATGCATATTTTATTAATCGTCTGTACTTGCCCACAACAGCTGAGACCATTGGCATCACAGGTACACTCGATACAGTCAGCTGTCTTAATGTGAGATCCGACCTGCATCTTTAATCCTTTGTACATGCAGTACTGAGTGATTGTTCCATATTCTGGGAAGCAAAACAACAACAAAAACAACAACAGCAACAACAAAAAAAAACAAACAAACAAACAAACAAACAAACGTGAAGTGTTATTGGAAGATTCTCCTGTGTGGAGTGTTCTTACTTCCAAGAATTGCCTGAGCAGTGGTTGCTGCAGTCTGGGTCCTGTTCCGGAGACCCGTGAAGGTCCGGGTTAGAATGTGCCTTCAATAACCCATGCTTGTCGTAAGAGGCGACTAACGGGATCGGGTGGTCAGGCTCGCTGACTTGGTTGACACATGTCATCGGTTCCCCATTGCGCAGATCGATGCTCATGCTGTTGATCACTGGATTGTCTGGTCCAGACTCGATTATTTACAGTCCGCAGTCATACAGCTGGAATATTGCTGAGTGCGGCGTAAACCTAAACTCACTCACTCACTCACCCTGTTCCGGAGATGGGTCACTCTTATCCTTCTGTCCTATCGTAGCGTTGTGACGCGTGGATGTCCAGCACGTGGGCGATTGGCAACTTCACTATTGCTCAGACAACGTCTCAACAGTGCTTTAAAGGTGGCAATGGAAATGCACAATCACCTGATGTTGAGACAATCCTCCACGGATAGTAAGCGTTAAACAGCCCACAAAACAAAGCAAAATCCATCTTACCGAGAACCGAAAACCAAACCCTTGCATAAAGGATTCCAAAGACGCAAATCAACAACGTTACCTGTGTCTCCAACTCACCAGCTGCAACCAAGTTGTTTATTCTGAATGTTTGAGACTGACTGACTGACTGACTGAGTTTGGTTTTACGCTGCTTTTAGCAATATTCCAGCAACATCACGGCGGGGGACACCAGAAATGGCTTCACAAAATGTACCCATGTGGGGATTCGAACCCGGGTCTTCGGCGTGACGAGCCAACGCTTTAACCACTAGGCTACCCCACCTCCCCGAATGTTTGAGAACGCATAATGATGTTGATAGCACTACAAAGCCGTTATAGACAGGAGGAAGCTTACTTGAGATCTCTGTGATAGGTTTCCCGAACATACAGGATCCTTGGGTTAACGCCACCAACCCAAGAAGTAGCAAGCCGTAGACGTACATGTCGCAGTAGATGGAGACGTCAACCTATCTCAGACAACAAAACTAATGTCAGATAATAGATAAACTGCCTGTCTTGTAAACATGAGTGTGAACCAACAGATGGTCTGTCATGATTAGATGGGAACAGTTTGCTTTCTAATGTTAACCAAATGTCATGATGACTATTAAAAGATAACTTCACGCTGTGGGGTGAAGATATATAAAGTAAACCAGGCTTATATATTAATAGCGTGGAGCAATTACAGGCATTGAAACCGCACTCAGCAATATTGCAGCTGTATGGTGGCAGTCTGGACCAGACAATTCAACGATCAACAGCATGAGCATCGATCAGCAGCATTGAGATACGATAAATTGTGTCAACCAAGTCAGCGAGCCTGACCGCCCGATCCCGTTAGTCGCCTCTTACGACAAACATGGGTTGCTGAAGATCAATTCTAACCCGGATCTTCGCGGGTATGGACCTTTAACACGATAAACAATATATAGTAACTGTGTTGGTGGCATTTGTCAAAACAGTTCGTGGTACTTAATAACATTTATCATAACAATATCTGGTACCTTGATACCATTAATCAAGATTTACCACGGTAACTTGATACCGTCCGTGAAGACAATTCTCGGTAACTTGATGCCATTTATCAAGAGAGTCAGTGACTTGATGTCACATAGTCAATACTTGATGCCATTAATCAAGACAATCCCTCTTAACCTGATGTCGTCATAAAAAGAATCCATGGTAACGTAATGTTGTTATCAAGTTAATGTATGGTAAATTTATGATATTCATTTATACACCCAGTTGTTACATGATGCCATCCATCAAAACTTTCCGTTTTTAATGGACACTATTAGCGACGACAATTCCTTGTTCCTTGATGCCAGTAATCTTTAGTTCTTTAGTCTTTATTTAAACCTTTTTTTCTGAATTCATATCTAGAGCCAAAAACACATATTTACAGGAATGGCATTCCTCGTTGTCTAGTGGCTCAAAAACGTACCTATATTCTCAATTTAAATTTATTTTTGGTGTTGAGCCATATCTCCATTGCATAACTATTAAGAAATTTCGTATTGCCTTAGCGAGGTTCAGGTGTAGTTCTCACCAACTGAATATAGAAACTGGTAGATATATAAAGAAACCAAAAAACTCAAGATTGTGTGAAATGTGTTCCTGTAACTCTGTGGAAAAATGAGTATCAGTTTTAAGAAATCTTGCCATGTTTATCTTCTATGCTAACAATCGTCGTCGCTACAGCTTGAAGGCTGCCAATGTATAACGTTGTACCGTGGGCCGATGGCCTACATCCACATGAATAAAGACTAAAGATGCCATTAATCAAGAAAGTCCGTGGTAGCTTGATGCCATTTAACAATACACTCCTCGGTAATGTGATGTCATTTGCTTTTACACTTCATGGGGACTTGATGCCATTAAATACATGTTAGGGTAGACAGGTCACCATAAATTACATTATTTTTCTCATTTATCAAACGGCGGTTGTCCGATAACACTGGATATATTGAACACTGGACACTTCATCGATACATGTGTCGTTAATTAACCATTTGTGCAATGAATGAACCATCTTCTGTTGAGAGGGACAGACTTATGCAGAGCACACACTGGTGGTGTATTGCGTGTGTCAAAATCCAAACATCAGCATGATACCATGTTTTGTTTGTAATTAAACATTTAAAAAACCCATAACAACTCGTCTTGACGGTTTTTGTACCTTCCTTACTCAAGAAAGTCCATGGTAGCTTGATGCTATTTAACAATCCACTCCACGGCAATGTGATGTCATGTTTCAAGCAAGAAATTTCGTCAACAAGGCCTTTATACCAAGAATGGAAATGTTGTTACTATCCAACGGGAAATGGAAAAGGAAGTGAAGTCATTTTACGAAACATTATACCGTAAACATGAGTTATCGGATGTCGATCTGCATAACCTTTTAGGTGAATATGAAGTTCCTAAACTATCAGACGAAATGGCAAAAACCCTTGAAGGGGAGCTTACACAAAATGAGGTTCTTTTAGCTGTAATATCCCTTAAAAATGAAAAAGCCCGGGTCCTGATGGATTTACAGCAGAATTCATAAAATTCTTTTGGATAGATTTGGGCAAATATCTTGTATGTTGTTTTAGTGAATCATATAGGCAAGGCATGCTACCAATATCACTAAGAAGAGGTTTGATTAAATGCATACCTAAAGTAAACAAGCCCAAACAATATATAAAAAACTGGACACCAATATCGTTGCTTTCCATTTTCTACAAAATTGGTACTTTGACAATCTCCAAGAGAACAAAACCTGTTCTTGACAACATCATAAACGAAGATAAAAAAAGGATTTATCACAGGAAAATATATAGTTGAAATTGCAATATTTTTCTATGACTTAATAGAATGTACAGGGAGTTATCAGATATCAGGACTATTATTACTCACAGATTTTGAAAAGGCTTTCGATACTGTAGACTGGAAATTCTTAGATAAGACACTTGAATTCTTTATTTTCGGAGGTTCTATTCAAAATCTGGTTCAAACATTTTATAATGACATTGAAACTTGCACACTGGTAAGCGGATTTGGCTCTGATCTCTTCAATATTTCAAGGGTCTGTCGGCAGGGAGACAACTCTCTCCCCATACCTGTTCATATTATGTGTGGAGATACTGGGTAATATGAACAGAAATAACTCAAATATCCAGGGCATAAAGACTGATAGTATTGAATATCTCTTGGTACAATTTGCTGATGATACCACGTGTATGCCTGATGGTTCTGATCGTTGTCTTTATGCTGTAATGCAAACATTAGAACAATTTGCACGCTTCTCTGAACTGAAGGTAAATGTTGATAAAAGTAGGATTTTGTGGTTGGAATCAAAGAAACGTTCCAGAATAGAATAAAATTATGCCCCGAGTGGAAACTTAATTGGGGAACAAGACTCTTTCACACTGTTGGGTTTTAATATTAGACCTAGATGATATAATCAAAATGAATTATGATGAAAAGCTTTTAAAATGCCAAACCTTGATGAATTTATCGTCCGCCAGAAACCTCACCCCCCTCGGTAGAAACACTGTGTTTATTTTACCAAAACTCAACTATCTTTTTTTCTTCAATTCCAAATCCGCCTGAAAATGTCATTAATGATTTTCAAACTAAATGTTTCAGATTCATTTGGAAAAATATACCCGATAAATTAAAGGGAGATCAGGTTATATGTAGTCCAAAAGATGGAGGTTTCAAAGTACCCAATGCAAGATATAGAGATAATCCAAGCACAAAAGTTGTCAGTACTTAGGCGTTACTATAAGAAACCAACACCATGGACCAAACTTATTGATATGAATTTACCAAATGTTAGTTCTATAAATATTTTAGAACTCAAATGTCATCATTTGAAAAATGAAATTATTTTAAACATTAGAAATCCGTTTTACGTAGACCTTCTCTCATGCTGGTTTGACTTTATAAATAATATCAAACCACAAGCGGATACAGATCTTCTCAGCCAAACAGTCTGGCATAACTGTCATATAATGATTAACAAAAAACCCATCTATTACTCATACTGGAACTCGAAAGGAATCCACTTTATCAATGATCTTTTGGGTGTTTCCTCAACTTCATCGAATTTAAAAACAAATACGACCTTAAAACAAACTTCATTCTATATTATGGTTTGATACAAACGACAAAAGCATATATGAAGTCGTATGGAAATTTAGACTTGAAAAATAAGGTTGAATTACCTTATTGGGAAACAGTGTATCACAAACCAACATATTAATAAGTGGGATCATGAGGTACAATGTAACATCCCTGTCAAAACATGGACCAAATATAACATGATACCTTTTCGGTGCACCACCCATTCAAACATTCAGATAGATGCGATTATTGTTCCTATAAAACAGATACATTGCAGCAGTTATTTTGGGAATGTGATCTTGTACGGCCACAGTGGACCAAACTGGTGGGATGGTTAAAAGGAAAAGCTCAAATAGAAATTCATTTTAATAAAGAAAGGATACTCATTGGTTTTCCAGAGAGAAACAATGACCCACTAAACATAATCATCTTGATTTTCAAAAAGACTATATTTGACCATAAACAAAAACGATTGCCAACCTTCCAAACATTAATATGCAAAGTCCGGGATTATGATATTATTACTAAATGTGCAATAGAGCAGATTTGTTTCACAAATTCTGGTCTTCTTGTCATTCACTGTTCATGTAAATGTATTGTGCGATTGATACCTGTATTTACTTTGAAATAAAAGTTTTAAAAAATGTTTTGTGTGCAATGAAACATTTAAAAAAAACATAACTTACTCGTCTTGACGGTTTTTATACCTTCCTTACTCAAGACAGTCCATGGTAGCTGACCACCTCCGTGGTGGTTAGAGCGTCCGCCCGGAGAGCGGAAGGTCGCGGGTTCGATCCCCAGCCGCGTCATACCAAAAAGACGTTAAAATATGGTACTTGTTGGTCCCTGCCTGGCGCTCGGCATTAATGGGTACAACAAGGACTGGTCGGCTTTGAGTCAGTATAATGTGTCTGAGTGGGGTATTCATGCTTCACTGCGGCATGGTATCTCAGTGGGCTAGAACTATAAAACCAGCTTCAGCCTGGGCTAGTACAAGCAGCCGCACATACACATACACACGCATGCACGTCGTCATATGAGCGAAATATTCTCCCTCGCGACATTAAACCCAATTTCATCTCACCCATGGTAGCTATTAAACAATAAACTCCACGGCAATGTCATGTCCTGTTTCAAAGGACTCCAAGAGAACTTTATGCTTTTAAATACAGGTACAAAACATTAGGGTATAAACGTCACAATGTGTCAGCATGCTTTCTTATATGTTCGTGTAGACGTTAAACAGTCATTTTACGTCGTTACTGTTACGATTCAGCAGAAGTTCATTACACTGTGTTTGACAAAAGTTACAGAGTCGTGCAAAAAGTATTCGGCAAAATGGCCGCCGCGGTATCGGGTCAGTTTTCAGTACGTTGTGATCTCCGTTCTTTCATTGGTAATTTTCGAATAAAATATCACGAAAAGGTAAGTATACCTACTTAATATCGTGTAAGATGTCTTTTGAGACGAATTACTTTCATCACACGTCTTGGGAGTTGTACAGGGACTGAATATATTCAGGTAGGATAGTCTCGCAAATTCGCTGAATTTCCATGAACAGTTCAACGTTCGATGTGATCAAATGAACTGGAGACTGAACCGTTCTTTTGATGTATAACCAAACATTTTCGATCACATCAATGTCAGGTGATTGAGCAGCCAGCTCATGCATCTGATTTGATTATTTCCTTCGTAGTCTTTGATGACCCGCGCACGATGCACTCGGGCATTTTCATCTTGGAATAAATGTCTAGGATGTCTCGGTACTTGTTGGCATTTATACGACCATCTACAGCCGTTAGTATCCCCACGCCATTCCAGCAAATACAACCCCATATTATAACCTGATATTTGTTGGTTTTTTGGACACACTAAATCGGGTCGCCATCCCTCCCCGGTCTGCCTCCACATTATACACGCTTATCCTGTCCAATAACAATGTGACTTTCATCAGGAAATATAAATCCACTGTTCATTCACTGTCCACCTTCTCTTTTCACGACACCACGCACTTCGCTTTTCACGATTGATCTCTCGAACCACAAATTTCTTCTTTGAAAACCCGACGTACGAAGCCATGTGAATGTAACTTGCCTGTTTTCAATTAATTTTGAAGATATTTCACCCAGAGTGTCCCGTCTATTAAGTTTCATAAGTCTCTCTAACACACAGAAATAATAATCACTCACGATTTTTGCTCTTCCACTTCGTGGTTTGTTCTCCGTCGAACCCTTTGTTAAAAAACTTCTAAGTCACATCGTTTATTGTACTGCGTGGTTTCTCCAATATTCTACTGAATTGCCGACCTGATACAACCTTACAGCCGCATTCTTAACACCGGGCGACAATTAAACACTGTTTCGATCCATGTCGTCTGCATCAGGTAAACCGGAAGTATCCATAGCAGACGATAACGTAACTCACGTGACTAGCACGTGACATCTAATCTATTTATATGCGCGTTTGCAACCGTTTGCAGAGATATAGTCATCCAAATATCAGCGTAGATTTGTCATAAAGACTGAATTTGTCAATTTGCCGAATATATTTTGCACTACTCTGTAGTTGTGAGGAATGTAATACTACTTAATGTAAGCAGTGGGTGAGGTGAGGTGAGGTGATATGGGGTTTAACGTCGTGCTTGAGAATATTTCGATCATATGACGACGTGCATGCGTGTATGTGTGTATGTGGTTGCTTGTACTGGCTGCTTGTACTAGCCCAGGCTGAAGCTGGTTTTATAGTTCTAGCCCACTGAGATACCATGCCGCAGTGAAGCATGAATACCCCACTCAGACACATTATACTGACTCCAAGCCGACCAGTCCTTGTTGTACCCATTAATGCCGAGCGCCAGGCAGGGACCAACAAGTACCATATTTTAACGTCTTTTGGTATGACGCGGTCGGGGATCGAACCCGCGACCTTCCGCTCTCCGGGCGGACGCTCTAACCACTACACCACGGAGGCGGTCTAAGCAGTGGGTGGATGCCATGATGAGATATATACTAAGCACAAGAAGTAAGGCAACCCCTAAGTGGAATTTATAGTTGAAACAATGCTACATAAACGTTGCAAGCTGATTGCATACGAACCCAGATAGGAAATCACTTACGGCTGACACCACAGTCAGCACCATGTTACCTGTACATGATACATGTGCATCATGCACCATACATGCATTCTAGCCTATAAAACTGACAATAAGCGTGTCCCAATATCTCTTGTGAAAATGCCACCTCGACAGTACCTGACACACGCACAGAAATGGCAGGCCATTGGCATGATAAAGGGTTGACAATCTCAGAATAGTATTGCCCGGTTCTTCAGGAAGTCCAAAAGCGTCATTTCCCGTCTCATTAACCTTTACCGTCAGACAGCTGGCGTTAAAATGAGGACCGGTCGAGGAAGACGCCCTCAAACCACCCCCAGACAAGACAACATCCTAAGAGCTATAGCTCTGAGGAATCGATTTGTCACAGCCCCGGATTAAAAGATGGAATTCTTCAGAGCCACAGGCGCACGGATTTCATGTACGCAACAGGCTCCGTAGCAGAGGTCTTAAGTCAAGACGTCCATTCAAAGGCGTGACGATGACAGCTAACCACAGACGTCTTCGTTATCAGTAGGCTCAGCAACGTTAGAGGAGGGGGAACCGGCAATGGCGACATGTGATGATTAGTGATTAATTCCGATTTTGTTTGCGATTCACGGATGGACGATTGCGTGTGTGGCGACGCCGAGGAGAGCGTTATGGGAGACCCACGGTACAGGAACACGATTCTTAAGGAGGCGGCTCTATCATGGTCTGAGGAGGAATTTCTTTCAATAGGAGGACTGACTTGATTCTTGTACGGGGTAATTTGACAGGCCAGCGGTATATGGACGAGATCTTACGGCCACACGTGGTTCCAGTGGCTCTCAGGGCAGGTCGAAATTTTGTGTTTCAGGACGATAATGCACGTCTTCACAGAGCTCGTATTGCCGTGAACTTCTTGCAACAACTAGGTCTGACAACTTTACCCTGGCCGGCTAAAACACCAGATCTATCCCCTATCAAACATCTGTGTGATGTATAGGGCGTCGAGTGCGTCTCAGGGAGCCTGCGCCAGCACATATTGATGTGTTAGGTAGAGCGCTGCAGAAAGAGCAACACTTCATTCCAAGGGCGACAATTCAGCGGTTTGTGTCCAGCATGCCTGCAAGGTGCTAGTACTAGCCCAGACTGAAGCTGGTTTTATAGTGCTAGCCCACTGAGATACCATGCCGCAGTGAAGCATGAATACCCCACCAGACACATTATACTGACTCCGAGCCGACCAGTCCTTGTTGTACCCATTAATGCCGAGCGCCAGGCAGGGACCAACAAGTACCATATTTTAACGTCTTTTTGGTATGACGCGGTCGGGGATCGAACCCGCGACCTTCCGCTCTCCGGGCGGACGCTCTAACACCACTACACCACGGAGGCGGTCTAAGCAGTGGGTGGGTGCCATGATGAGATATATACTAGGCACAAGAAATAAGGGAACCCCCAAGTGGAATTTATAGTTGAAACAATGCTACATAAAAGTTGCAAGCTGATTGCATTCGAACCCAGATCGGAAATCACTTACGGCTGACACCACAGTCAGCACCATGTTACCTTTACATGATACACGTGCATCATGCACCATACATGCATTCTAGCCTATAAAACTGACAATAAGCGTGTCCCAATATCTCTTGTGAAAATGCCACCTCGACAGTACCTGACACACACACAGAAATGGCAGGCCATTGGCATGATAAAGGGTGGACAATCTCAGAATAGTGTTGCCCGGTTCTTCAGGAAGTCCAAAAGCGTCATTTCCCGTCTCATCAACCTTTACCGTCAGACAGGGGGCGTTAAAATGAGGACCGGTCGAGGAAGACGCCCTAAAACCACCCCAGACAAGACAACTTCCTGAGAGCTATAGCTCTGAGGAATCGATTTGTCACAGCCCGGATTAGAAGATGGAATTCTTCAGAGCCACAGGCGCACGGATTTCGAACTCTACTGTACGCAACAGGCTCCGTAGCAGAGGTCTTAAGTCAAGACGTCCATTCAAAGGCGTGACGATGACAGCTAACCACAGACGTCTTCGTTATCAGTGGGCTCAGCAACGTTAGAGGAGGGGGAACCGGCAATGGCGACATGTGCTTAGTGATTAATTCCGCTTTTGTTTGCGATTCACGGATGGGCGATTGCGTGTGTGGCGACGCCGAGGAGAGCGTTATGGGAGACCCACGGTACAGGAACACGATTCTTAAGGAGGCGGCTCTATCATGGTCTGAGGAGGAATTTCTTTCAATAGGAGGACTGACTTGATTCTTGTACGGGGTAATTTGACAGGCCAGCGGTATATGGACGAGATCTTACGGCCACACGTGGTTCCAGTGGCTCTCAGGGCAGGTCGAAATTTTGTGTTTCAGGACGATAATGCACGTCTTCACAGAGCTCGTATTGCCGTGAACTTCTTGCAACAACTAGGTCTGACAACTTTACCCTGGCCGGCTAAAACACCAGATCTATCCCCTATCAAACATCTGTGTGATGTATAGGGCGTCGAGTGCGTCTCAGGGAGCCTGCGCCAGCACATATTGATGTGTTAGGTAGAGCGCTGCAGAAAGAGCAACACTTCATTCCAAGGGCGACAATTCAGCGGTTTGTGTCCAGCATGCCTGCAAGGTGTCGTGCATGTATTGCTGCTCATGGTTGACACACTCGTTATTAAGTATATCTGACATACTTACCGTACGGTTGTCCTGATTAAATTATACATACCTCACAAAGTCAAGGTGTTCTTTTATTTTTTGTGCCTAGTATATATGCATTTTGTGACGATAGACACGCATGCTACGAAGAGAACGCATGCAACAATAGGAACTGTACATACAGTGTCAAAAACTGTTCATTTTAAGACAAAAACATGGAATTCAATTAATATTTTGAATTTACACAACTATATTCCAGCACATTATAAGGACTGATTATTTTCTGTCGTTGATTGCGTATACATGATCCACATTGCCATTTAGGAAAAGACAACGCTATGATAAACACTAATTCACATTTATATAAAATAAACGAGTGCGTGATATGTGAAATTAGGCAGAATAACTGTTCTACGGTTTAACGAGAGAATCTCCAGAGAGGCAGTCTTTGGTGTCGTCGTCAGCTTTCACCAGCAGCATCTTGCATCCATCAGCGGCGACCTTACATCCCGGTGGCGGAGCTACAACACCAGCGTTGATGCCGAATCTGCAGAGGATAACACCAGAAGTTCAGATGACTGATTTCAGCATGAATAATGTTATAATTTCTACACCGTTTGTTTGTTTGTTGTTTAACATGTCACTCAGCAATATTCCAGCTATATAAAGGTGGTCTGGACCAGACGAGATCGAGTCTGGGTCAGATAATCAAGTGATCAACATCATCAGCTTCGACAGACGCAGTTGGGATACAATGACCAAGTCAGCGAGCCTTACCACCCGATCCTTTGCTGCAGATCCAATTCAAACCCGAACCTTCACGGGTAATTTCTACAGATACCGTAAGGACGTTAACATACATACTTATTTCTCAGTATGGTCAGGCCAACATTGGTGTTGGAATATAGAATCATGTCAACATATGGCTATTCGATGTTAATTTGGGACATGAGAACAGGTGCTAATGTCTCAAAATGGTCGATGCTACATTAGTGTCAGAACACATGCTTGTCTCTAACCATTGGTATTTGAAATAGATCCAAGTTCTATAGATCAGAGTCTCAGACTATGAGACCATATAAGACTATGTAATCAAAACATAGCTGTTTGAAGTCAGTTCTTGGCTAAAACCGTCTTAAGTCTCTGCTTTTCTAGAGTACGGGAGTGACGATCACCTTTGCGTTAAAATCGCATTGTACAAGAGGACCTTAGAATATATATTCGTATCTCAGATTGTTGATCGTATATAAGTTTCAGATCATGTATCCTTGTCATCAGATTGTTATTAGAAGGTAGTTCAGGACCCCTGATGATTTCATTTTGGAACCTTATAATATATTCATGTACTCGTCTGTGCACATCATGGGTCAATTGATGCTGTTTCAGGTGGTTGAAGATGTGTATGAAGCAATGCCACTGCACAGTGTTCTGTTTGAATGGAATACCAAAACTCTGCGTAATGCTAAACTTGACTGAAAATGTCACATCCACTTGAATGCGCAGATTTGCCTGTTTGTATAAACATAATGTTTGTGACACCATGGTCTGTTTGTAACTGCGTAACGAAGCGTCCACTATACTTGCCCACAGCAGCTGAGAGCCGTCTCGTGGCAGATGCACTCAATACAGTCGGTTGTCTTGATATGGGAGTCAAGCTGCATCTTCAATCCTTTGTACATGCAGTACTGCGTGACTGATCCATATTCTGAAAAATAGCGATATAATGCTTGACAGTATTTCCCTTTATTGTATGCATTTAATTTACAATTTAACGAGGAAGGAGGCCCAAAATGATATAGACAATAAAGACCTGTATCTAATGGCATTGGTATTGTCGTGGCATGGCACTTTGACGAAAATATAAAGTCCAAAGTGACGGCAACTATGCACGACATTATCAAATGATATTGGTATTGCTGAGGCATGACAACTTGACGTGAGAATCCAGCCAAAAGTAATGCAGGCCATGCACGCTAATATCTAAAGGTGTTGGTGGTGTCCGGGCATGACAATTTGACGAAAGAATAACGCAAAAAGTGACGGAAATTATACATGACATTATCTAATGGTACTGGTATTGCCAAAGCATGACAATTTGATGTAGGAAGGGGCCAAAAATGATCCAGATCATGAAAGCTTATATGTAATGCTTTTGGTATTGCCATGGCATGACAATTTGACTCACGAGGGAGGCCAAAATGTTCCAGGTCTTGAAGGCTTATATCTAATGGTATTGGTAGTGTCGTGGCATGACAATTTGACGTGGGAATTCGGCCAAAAGTAATGCAGGTTATGCAGGCTAATATCAAATGGGAATTTGTAAATGTGATACGCCTTACACCTGTAATACAATGCGAGTAGGATAAGGAATATCTAACCCTAACTGCTAAAAGATATCGCAACGGGTAAGTCTTTATCAAACTAAATATAAGATATTGTGATGTGATGTTTCTACAGCTTCATCAGTGATGACAAACGATTCTTAGCGCTAGGTCAGTCGCAATTGTCACACTTTAACATGGTCTTACGACAATAGTAGCACTCTTAGAGAGCTTTGTGGAACAAGGTGACCGTGATTGTGGGTGTGCATTCCACATTTGACGTGCCCTTAATTCACGTTGTCCTCACCATATCTCCCTACTTACTGTTTCTTACTCGATATTTTCAGGGTATATGCAGCCCCTGAGATTAGGTTAATACGATGATATATGTTTCTCAATAATGTCGTTCGATCACTTCTTGATATCGACGGAAGATGACCCGGCTTAGAATTGGTCTTCAACAACCCATGCTTGTAGTAAGAGGCGACTAACGGGATCGGGTGGTCAGGCTCGGTGACTTGGTTGACACATGTCATCGTATCCTGATTGCGTAAATCGATTCTCATGCTGTTGATCACTGGAATGCCTGGCCCATACTCGATTGCTTACAGACCGCCATCATATAGCTGGGAAACAGCTGAAGGCGACGTGAAACAACAAACAAACAAAACCATGAACCATCCTGATAAATGGTATCAAGGTACCAGGCATTGTCATGATAAATGTTATTAAGTACCACAAACTATTTTGATAAATGACTATTTCGATTCTCATGCTCCTGATCACTAGATTGTATCCGTTTCCACAGACCGCTGCCATGATAAATGTTATTAAGTACCACAAACTATTTTGATAAATGACTATTTCGGTTCTCATGCTGCTGATCACTAGATTGTATCCGTTTCCACAGACCGCTGTCATATATATTGCTGAATACTGCGTTAAACAACAAACAAAACAAACGTCTTTGTATCAACACAGTATGTAAGGATATTCAAGTACTATAGCTATATCTACAAATCTGCAACAAAAGGTCACGGAACTTACTGGACACGTCTGTGTAGACCTTATCTGTAAAACAGAAGCAGTGCGCTGACACCACAAATCCGAGCAGTAACAGTCCGTACACGTACATGTCGTAGTGGAGGCGATGGAGACGTTTACCTACTGCAGAAAAAAAGAACCGACGACTTTTTTACTGACAACAAACAAAATGGTCGTCCTCGTTGGGTCATACAAATGTGTGTGAATCAACAGATACACTGATAAAGAAGATAACTCCACTGGTGTAAAAATATATTGTTCCAAAATACCACAATGAAAAGATAATGCACACTGAATAGCTCAACCTAGTAACATATTTTTCATGTGATTTATATATTAACATATAGTAAGAACACCATACGTGTGTGGTGGTACTGAAAACGGCACGTGCAAAATATGGCATGTCTTATGATTTTAGGTTTAACAGTCATACAACTTGTTTATAAGGAATCTAGTTGTCACTTGGCTTTTGTTAATACTTGAAAATAACAAAAAGCGTATACAATCAACATTTCATTCATCAGAAAAAATATATATTGTCAAAAGGAGCGCTATATCAAACTCCCCACTCATTCACACAATACTATTACACTTGTCTATATTATCTTAAATCATATTATCAAAATATCCCTAACAATGCCTACCGTTTTCAGCTTCAATAGAAGTGCGTTTTCAAAAATGTTCCTGACATTTTAATAGCTTGATACAAGCAGATAATATGAAAATATATATCATGTATTAAAGTCAAAATACTAATGACAGTTAGAGAGTCTTCATCATGTTTTCATCACGTATAAAGTGCTCTGGTGGCAATGTTATTTATTGTGTAAGAGTGTTTCATGTCTGTCACAATGTTTCTATGGACATTCATTTAGTGCAGAGATATTCTATATTTAGACTTATGCAGATTTATAATGAGTGTTCAAGAAAATGTCAGTGTGATCTGACCCAGACAGTTAGAGAAAGTTCAGGAAAGTTTGTTTTATGTACACAAGGGTAGCTAAGTCATACTTCTTATTTCACATTACATCTCACGCTACAAGAAGATAAGCACTTATGTGAAGATCACTTTTCACCCTGGATGCTCAGCCTAAGCCCATGTTGGAAGTTTGACTCCTACGGTAGTGTCCCTATTTTGACAGTTATGGCGTGACATTTTGCTGTCAAAACTGGGACTAACAGAATGAACACTGTCAAAACTGGGATAACTAGCTGTACCAATTCAGGGTAATTATGTGAACGCAATCGACTGACAACACAATCATTCCAAGAGCTACCGCTCGGCGTAGAATGCAGGATGGAAGAAGGATGGGAGAAGTAGTTTTACCAATTACTTGCAAAGTATCCTGATTGCAGGATTGGAGAAGAAGCCTGTGGCAGTGTGCTGGCTGGCAGTGTTGCTCAGTCATTGGTGACTTTGAAGTGATTGACTTTCAAGAATAAACTGTTTTAGTCTTTTGTTTTAGTCTTAGTTTTTAGTCGTATCCGAAGCTTCTGTTACAGTAACTCCCACAATCACTGGCTAATCAGAGATTAATTAACATGTGTGAGCTGCGGACTGTCAAAATTGGCACGACCAGTAAGCTCACTGTCAAAATTGGGACTAACCGACTTCTACTATAGCGAGGTGAATATTACCATCACTATATTGCTATAGTTACTGCTTTTTAGTATAATGCTTTGAATCTGTACTATTATAGTGATAGAATTCATTTACATTAACATGCATTGCTTTCTAAACTTACATGATTTTGGAATACAATTGTTCATTGTGTAACAACATTTTTTATTTATTTTTTTTATTTCGCTTTTTTTTCAGGTATACATACAAGTTGACGTATATTATGTAAAAGTATGAGTTCCATGCAAACATGTTGGGTCTCAATAAATAATCAATAAAACTTTAGTATAATTACACCGTGTCAACATTTTTACATATACATCGAAATAATTTCCCTATTCAACGGTTCTAATATCATGTGTAGGCTTGACCATAGTTTTAGAAAGTAGGCTTTCTGGTCACGATTAATATATACATATTTTGTCGTACTATAATATTGTATGATTTGTCTCTTGATGTATGAAATATTTGGAATGAAACATTTCTTACTACAGTTGTATATGGTATTCTTGATTAAAATAATTATCGCATTTAGTGCATAGTTATGTTTTCCTTGAATCCCAAACATTACCTGGGTATTTGTAAAACTCAATTCTACGTCTACAGTTCTGAGCCATAATTTTATTTCACGCCATATGTTTTTTTACCTTGTCACACTCCCAGAAGATATGATAAATTGTTTCGTCATAATCGTTGCAGAAGGTACATTTAGGGCTATCCACATAGTTTATTTTGTAGAGGAAATGTCTGATTGGCAATATTCTGTGAATGGTTCTGTACTGCATGTAACAACATTTGTTGTTTGGTGGTTTAACAATTTAATGGACAGATTTCTGGTTAAGGTAATGATTCATCTTGGACTTGGCACAAAGTAGTTTTATAAAAGGGTGATAATTTAGTTATCATGCTGTCCTTAGTTTTGTTGACGGCTGTTTTTTTCTGTTGTCTTTATGAGTATAATTTTAACGTGTGGTCTGCCATAGTCACCACATTGCTGAAACGCTGACTGACTGAATGACTGAATTTGGTTTTACGCCGCCTTTAGCAATATTCCAGCAACATCACGGCGGGGAACACCAGAAATGGGCTTCACACATTGTACCCATGTGGGGATTCGAACCGGGTCTTCGGCGTGACGAGCCAACGTTTTAACCACTAGGCTACCCCATCGCCCCTGCTGAAACGCTGACCAACTTTATGGATAACAACTTCTTTATTACGAGAGTGCGACGTTTCGATACAGTTTCTTGTACTGTTATCAAGCAGGAATGTAACATACATTGGTGGCAAAGTATATATACTGAGTGTAACAAAGAGAACAAGATAACAAGGTAATTAACACAACAGGGTGGGCATAAAGGTGGTCAAGCCAGTGGGTAGACAATGGGGGAAGGCATAGAAGCCAGTGATGTACAAATGAAAACGGGGGTAGTTTAAACAAGGAGGAGATGTTTATACAGCTGATTGGGTTTGGTGGAGGAGTGCATCATAAGCAGATGGAATGTAATATCCTTGATCTCGATTGATGGTAGGCTTATGGCGTTTGATATGAATGGCTTCGGTGAGTTTTCGTTTGCTGACTATCAATAATCACTCACTAAATACCTCATGCCTTGGATAATTTCATCGTGTAGTAATGATGCATCAGTAAAGCATTATACAACACATTAAACTGTTCCTTGCAGAATCAGCATTATACCACGCATAAAGCGGATCCTTGCAGATTCAGCATTATACCACACATTAAGCTGTTCCTTGCAGAATCAGAATTATAATTATACCATTCAGCATTATACCACTCATAAAGCTGATCGTTGCAGATTCAGCATACAACAAATAAAGCTGATCCTTGCAGAATCAGCGTTATACATAAAGCTGATCCTTGCAGAATCATAAAGCGGTTATACAACGTTATAGAATAAATGAATGATCCTTGCAGAATCAGCGTTATACCACGCATAAAGCTGAATCCTTGCAGAGCATCATGCGTTCATAAAGCTGATCCTTGCAGAATCAGCGTTATACAAGAAATCAGAATTATACAGCACATAAAGATTATCCTTCCACAATCAGTATTATACCACACATAAAGCTGATCCTTGCAGAATCCATTCATACAAAGTGGTTAGGCTGGGGTGTACAATCCAGCAATTCTACGTTCTCATTCAACGCACATAGTAAGTATTAACGGTGTTTTGGACCCGTGAAGATCCGGCTTACAATTGATCTTCAGTATCCCATGCTTGTCGTAAGAGGCGACTGACGAGATCGGGTGGTCAGGCTCACTGACTTGGTTGACACATGTCATCGTATCCCAATTGCGTATGTCGATGTTTATGCTGTTGATCCCTGAATTGTCTGGTCCAGACTCTATTATTTACAGACCGCTGCCATACACTCTGCCGTGTCGGTGTCTGCGTAGAAAACAATAGCTGGTTTTGATATTGCGGTGTAAAATTAACTCATGTCTCACTCACTCATATCCCATGGTTTTCGGTGGTCAGGCTCAAGACACGTGTATCGTATCCCAATTGGTATTTCGATGTTTATGCTGTTGATCCCTGAATTGTCTGGAATCTATTTACAGACACTGGAATATTGCGGTGTAAAATTAACACTTTCGCTGACAAGAGTGTATGGTTAGGGAGTAGGAATCTGGAACACATGCAACATTTCGCTGGAATTGGAGTTCCGAAGCACATTACAGCCAGGCCAATTAACATTTCTGTAAAGGTGGGATCAAGTTAATGCTAACATTTGCTGTCATCACTGTCAGTTAAATTTCACAACCAATTACAAACACATGCTTATGAAATAGTCGAAATCGTAAACTCTGGTTTTAGTAGAGATTTAATATGAACATGGAAATTATGTTTTACACTTTTATTTGTAATTACTATCATCACGCAAACAAACATATTTTTACATTTACATATTTTTACATTATGCTGACGTAGTAAGAAACATATTCTGACAGACTGACTGACAGATCGATCGATCGATTTATTGATTGTTCTTTAACGCCGCACTCCAGTTATATGACGGCGGTCTGTAAGTAATCGAGTCTGGACCAGACAATCCAGTGATCAACAGCATGACATCGTACTCCGCAGTTGCGATACAAATCGCACACAACCAAGTCAACCAAGTCACCTGACCACCCGATCCTTTTAGTCGCCATTGGTTTACTGAAAACCAATTCTCACCCGGATCTCCACGGGTCCATCAACATGTTCTGAACGCCCTTTAGTGCTAACTATTGATATACTGAACATGTCTTTCCACTGATGGCGATGTGAGGGTTAATCTACTTCTTGTACAAACTACATTTACGTTGCAAGGATTCCTGTGTGCGATTTGTGTTGAAGATATCGCATTTTGAGTTCATGGAGTTTCTCAATGCCATGCTCGAATTTGCTGATTGTATTTACATTCAAGTCGTAATTGGTTTTAATTTCGTCAGATTATTTTTAGAAAAAGTTCATGCCAAGATTTTCTCAAGGTTTTAAACATTCTGTCCAAATCAAGAGGCAATGCATTACTGTCGATGCTACGCTCGACAATGACGCTGTTTGTGGGTGTCGTTAAAGAAACAATATCACTCTACTATCCAGTAAACCTGTGAAGATACGGATTAGAAATGATCTTCATCAACCCATGCTTGTCGTAAGGGCCGACTAACGGGAATCGGGTGGTCAAGCTCGCTGACCTGGTTGACATGTCATCGTAACCTAATTGCGATGCTCACGATGTTGATCACTGGGATGTCTGGTGAAGACTCGATTATTTACAAACTGCCGCCATATAGCTGGAATATTAATCAGTGCGGCGTAAAACAAGAAACAAAACAAAAAAGAATTTACCTGCACAGGTTGTTTTTTTCATCTCACTTCTAGGTACGAACACATTAATCAAACAAACAAACTAACCGGTAGCTGTGCAGTATGGAAAGTACAAAGTGAACTAGAGTTTCCCGCAGCCATTTTTAGCAGGGCGCAGCGCCCTGCCCTTTTTATTTTGCGCCCTGCCCTTTTTCTATGGCGCCCTGCCCTTCTGTCGACGGCCTCGCCCGTTTGACACTTTTCACTCGGTCCGGATTTTTAGAAAATACAATAGAGTTGCCTCCCTTTGCAATTTTAAAGTTTTGACAACAATTATCTATCAGTGTTTAAAAAACGACGATGACTTACACTTGCCATTACTTGCAATTGCGGGTTATTTCACAATGCCAACTAAGGACAGAACCAAGAGAAAAAGGGAAGAAGCTACGAGGGCCGAAGCGGATAATCTGATTATTCTCTAGCGTTGAAGTTTGGAATGTATTGACGCTTTAAAAGTGAATAGTAAAACTTTATTATTTTATTTAAAACGTAACATAATTTCAAATTGATGTGAACATTAGGGCTGAGCAGCAGTTCTGATTTTGTATACCAGCTATCCTTCACAGATCTGCTAACACCAATTTTAATTCGTCATTAAATTCAAGACATTTGCCCTTAGTTCAAAGTCTCTTATCCTCCAAGGCCCGTGAGGGCGGTTGGGTAGCCTAGTGGTTAAAGCGTTCGCTCGTCACGCCGAAGACCCGGGTTCGATTCCCCACATGGGTACAATGTGTGAAGCCCTGGTGTCCCCCTCCGTGATATTGCTGGAACATTGCTGAAAGCAGCGTAAAACTATATTCACTCACTCCAAGGCACGTGAAGATGCGGGTTGGAACTGATCTTCAGCAACCCATTCTTGTCGTAAGAAGCGACTAACGGGATCCGGTGGTCAGGCTCGCTGGTTAATGCATGTGATCGTGACACAATGAAGTAGAACCATGCTCATATTTCTCACATGATTGTCTGGTCCAGACTCGTTTAATTACATAATGCTGTGGGGCAAATGGCAGGATGCAGCGTTAAACACACAAACACACAGGCAAACAAACAAACAAACATATGCTCTAAATGACACAGAAGACAATCTGTGGCCTAAACATTTAATGGCATGGTAGAGTCTCCCTTTGTTGTTGCAGGTATTCCTCAGTGAAGGTGTATCGGTTTATTACATGTATGAATACATTTACAGAGTCGCAATGACGTACTTGAACATGCATAATATTTCCCATTAAGTAACTAAGGGATTCAATGCCTTAAATCATTTTATATATGGATTTTATGGACAATACTTATTCTTGAATTTTGAGTGAGTGAGTGAGTGAGGTTCTTTGCTGATTTACTCGTTTTGAACAAGTTGCAGTTATAAAACGGCGTCCCAGCCTAACGGAAGGAAATTATCCGTAGGGACGTACGTACATTTTCTGCATTAAACGTTGCTGTTGTGTTGTACTTGCCAATAAAGCCACCCCCTCCCACCCCCACCCCACAGTGGTTCAAATAAAAACCAATCCTGTGGAGACAACCATTAGCATAAGAATATGTCACATGTTGTTTCATTACCAAACCTGTGAGACAAGCAATACATTTATAATGTTGTCATTAAAACCCGAGAAAAAATATGTTTCTTTAGTGATTTTCACAACTGTTTTCAAAAACAAAACTCCCCCAAAACATCAAATGGTTGGTATTGATCAATACTAATAATCCTGAAGCAAGATGCTTGGCCAGTCAGAATATACCTTAACTGATCATTTTGTCCTGTTTGCGTGCGTGGTGGGCGAGCTGTCTAAGGCGCCAGGCTGGTGATCCAGCGAGGTTGAGGTGCCGGGATCGAGCCCACCTTGGACCGGGTGTAAAAACCTTGGAGTCAACTTTGTGTGTAGACTCTTTCAGTGTTGTCACAACCCCTAGTGTACAGTACACAACCCTGTGCACTTAAAAGAACCCACGAATCCGTTGGTATATGACCAGATGGTGGCCACATGAATACATGCAAACACCTAGTTGCGGGTACAGAAACGTGCAGTGAACTTGAACAAAGTACTGTGACTATGTGTCCCAGTCCACCCCAGCTGTGAATGGGTACCTCGTAAGGATGGGAAAGCCACATTAACTCGGTGCGCCTAGTGGATGCAAGAGTTGTATACTCCCCAAAAGTTGAGATTGATAATACGATGTGCCGTTGAGACTGACATTCTATGATCGAGAGAAAAACAAAGCGCCTGTGAGCAGCCCAGCTGGAACTCGGCGCTATATAAATAGATTATAATATATATAAGATATGACATGACATCAGTACTGTATAAATCGTTAGATAACAGATGCTGAGCTCACTGCAGTAATACAGATACTGCAAACACAAGGAAATAGCTGGTATCTCCATCGCCTGGTAACTGACAGGACCAGGGACGCGGTAACAGATGCTAGATTAATGAATAATCACCTTCACATTAACGCATCGACAAGTAACATATGCTACAACTGTAACAAGCATCATTGTATTTATCCCCGGAAAAACAATGGCTGATAAACTGATGTACAAAAGAAAGTATACTCATTTTTTATTATTTTCCAAAAGAGAGCTAATTCTTGTTCCTTCATGGGGTGAATGCTGAGTCAATGCCAAGGGTTAATATCTAACAGTATTCCAGTTATGTCAGGACGTGTCATCTGCTCATAACCCATGTCTTTATGGGGATGTGCCGTGCAATTGTGGATTGTCTGGCACAAAGTAACACGGATACATGTCCTATGTGTTTTGGACATATACGTTTAGGATCTTAGACCCTGTATATATTAACCTTGGGCGCTGACTGATGAAGGAGCAGGTATTAGCTCTGAAACGTCGTGTAAAGAATAAAAACACGTTTTCCATAGAACGTGTCATGTAGTCATGTTCGTCCAACTTCTAGGGCGGTGTGGTAGCCTAGTGGTTAAAGCGTTGGCTCGCAACGCCGAAGACCCTGGTTCGAATCCCCACATGGGTACAATGTGTGAAGCCCATTTTTGGTGTCCCCTGCCGTGATGTTGCTGGACAATTGCTAAAAGCGGCGTAAAACCAAACTCAGTCAGTCAGTCGTCCAACTTCTAAATGCCCTTCAAGAACTTAACTCGCTAACTGGAGAGGCATTTAACGCCGCTTCTAACAATATTCCAGTTATGTCAGGGCGTGTCTCTGATGTCACGGGCAGACAACGGAGTGGAAAGGGTTGACCTAATTGTTATCATAAGAGATTTTCAAGGTTACAGCCTGTTTGATTTCATTTGAGAACGATGAATTGCTCACTAGTGGTTAAAGAGTTCGCTCGATACGCCGGAGACCCGGGTTCCATTCCCCACATTGGCACAATGTGTGAGGGCCATTTCTGGTGTCACCCGCCGTGATATTGCTGGAATGTTGCTAAAGGCGGCGTAAAACTAAACCCATTCACTCATTACAAAAAACTCGAACATTCGTAGTATCATGTCATGTTTACATGTTTATTTGTTGTTTAGCTACTGCAGAGCTCTTCTGGCACCGCCCCCAACATGCTCAAGGGGAGGTGCAAACTGATCAAGGGGAGGTCCAAACTGATCAAGGGGAGGTCCAAACTGATCAAGGGGAGGTCCAAACTGATCAGACGGAGGCCCGTAAGGAGGAGGAGGAGGAGGCGGAAGCCCAGACGGAGGCCCAAAAGGCTGATGCAAAGGCCCAAAATACCCAGGCGGAGGCCCTTCCCGGAAAGGTTGGCAGTCCTTGGTGTGATCGGCAGCATCTACCAGCCTTATGTCACATCCATCATTGACGACATCACATTCTTCCGGTGCCCCGAACAGACCAGCATTGAACCCAAATCTAGATGTAGATGCAAGAGAAGACAATAGGGTTTGTCCTATTTTAGATTTAATATGCACATTTCAAAACTATACGTAGATTACGTAGGAATGCCATGTCTGTGCAGTGCGAAAAGTAGGAAAATCATTACTGCCAACTTTGGTCATTCGGCGCATTTGACCACAGATGAACATGCACTTGACTTGAAATACACAATGCCATTTAGAAAGTGGACAAATGTAACATATGCTATATTTGGGATTACACTTTGTTTGTATAGTACAGATTCTAGTACTTTTGTTGGGTTGAGTCCCATCCAGTCCCACTCTAAGGGTGTGGGTTCGAATCCCGGATGGGACTCAATCCAACAAAAGTACTAGATCCTGTACTTTACAAACAAAGTATAAATATAACAAATATAACATATGTTACAAGTACTTGATTTGCATACTATTTCAAGCGGATGTAACACCTACCTAATGTTTAAAACCAAAATCCATACCGAATTCTATATATCATGTTTAAATATTAATAAGTATAGAGTAACTTTAACACGATTCCGATGCTCTCATCTCATGAACTTTTAATCGAGAAAGGTAGATATGTAAATATGAATAGAGAACATAGAACGTGTCAGTTATCTAATACAAATGCAATTGAAGACGAGTATCATTTTCTTCCTGTATGCCCTAACTATTATAATCTTCGAAGCAAATATATAAGAGAAAAATATTACGCCCATTCAAACAGGCTTACGTTTTCATTACTGCTGAACAGTTCAAATACTAAAGAAATTGAAAACTTGTACATGTATATTTTCTACGCATTTGTACATAGAAAGCGTTTTGTTCCTTGAACGTGTATAAAGCACATTTATATAGTGTACTATAGGTCAGAGGCCTTTTGTGTACCGGAATAAAGATTGATTGATACTTGATTTGAAAGAACACATTTTCTTACCCCTCGCAGAACAGTCCGCTGTTGGTGCATTCGCATTGCTCACACTCTGTGGTTCTCCACGTGGAATCAGGGAGCATTTTCATATTCTGGTATTCACAGTAGACCAACTTCGTTCCAAACTCTGAAAGATAAATTATCCGTCCTATTATGCCGCATGAACAATGGCGACAATTTTGCTGAATTACACAACGTCATTCTAGAAAGTGGAAGTAGCGGTGGCTGAACGGTGGCTGACTTTGTGTGCATTCGTCACCACTCGCCCCTTTCAGTAACCACTATTCGGCTTGTCCCGGAATAACACCAGTGGGTCACGAATGCTTTGTGTGCTGGCGATTAGGTTCCTGACTCGGAGGGTGTGGGTTCGAATCCGGGATGGGCCTCAACTCCAAAAAGTACCAGAATCTGTACGTTACTAAGAAAGTGTAATCCTAAATAAAACAAATGTTATATTTTGCTGAATATTCAAACCTGACACGATAGAACATAATCTCCTTTGTCCCGATCTTTAATGCGTCAGCATGATATGGCTAGCGGAAACACCATAACTGCTATCTAATACAATTTTTTTGTGCGCAGAGAGATGCATTGCTTCAAGTGCCGATCCTTACCAATGAATTATTCTCAAAATACATGCGAAAATATACCCAACTGACGTATTCCTCTCACATATATTCTTAACATAATAGGGCAACTTGATTTTTAATTACGATTGTAAAAAATGGCGGATATATCGGAGTCAATCAATGTTGATATGGTAATAGTGAATGTTTTGAGAGTGCATTGTACTTCGAGACCATAGTTGTTTGTACAGTGATCGCTCTTGAATGATGGTCAAGAATGACACCCCATGCACGTTTATGTGTGTGGTGGTGGTGGGGAGGGGGAGGGGGCGTGTGCATCCCATACCTTGTGTTTAGGAATGGTGATAAAGAGAAATGGCGGTGCGTTCATAAGGTGCCTGTCTTTGAAAAGTTTGTCAACGCTTATACTTCCTAGCCAAATTGAAAGTACAGGTTTCCCCAGTTTTATAAGTGAGTGAGTGAGTTTAATTTTACGCCGCACTCAGCAATTCCACTATATAACGGCGGTCTGTATATAATCGAGTCTGAAGCAGGCAATCCAGTGATCAACAGCATGAGCATCGATCTACGCAATTGGGATACGATGACATGAGTCAACCATGTCAGCGAGTCTGACTACCAGATCCCGTTAGTCGCCTCCTACAAGCGTTACTGAAGATCAATTCTAACCCGGATCTTCACGGTTAGATTATTCACTTTGGTGAAACCTCCGGGTCCTTATCTTAGACCACTGTGGTACCCCTGTCCTCCATGCTCAGAAATAAATACATTCATTGTGGTGTGAACTGAGAGAGTGAGAACCTGTTCTGTTGGTCATGGTACTATACGGTTTAAACATATTTTTATTCCTAGAGAATCTGGTTTGGTAAACAAGCAGAACTCTGCTTATATCAATACCTCACCAGTACAAATATCATTTAAACAAAATACACAAGAACTGGATACAAAAAACCGACAAATTAAATCATATATGTGCGTTGTAGGTGCTTATAAACATTGAGCTTGAAGCTACACTTCATTAATTGATTGCATATAATTGTTAGAATAATTTGTCAAATCGTTTAGACTTAAAGATGTATTGATGCAGGGACTCCATTATGTTCTTATTGACGTTGTTGTTTGCCGGAGGTATTCCGTATAACACAGTTTGGAGATTGTGGCCATTTACATAGAAGTAGGTATTATTTCTAATCGCAGTGTATAACTTACATGTAAAAAGATAATAAACAGTATCTTCATTGTGGTATCCACAAGCGCATCCAGGGTTGTTAGAAATGTGTCTATTTACTTTATCCGCATTCAAATCACTACAGCCGAGCTTAAGTCGACAGTGTACGATCTGACAGAATGGTACTATACTCACGGTTAGTCGTTTCTGTAGGCAGTTCCAGATAGCCATACCCTTGGGTCGATATAACTATGCTAAGAAGAAGGAGTGCGTGCAGGAACATGACGTTGAGCCTGATCTTCTCCAGAGAAATGAAGAGTCACTGCGGCAGATAAGAAAGCACGTTATTGGCTAGACTAGACATATGTTTATGACGGGTGGGACAGAATACGCTCACCTTTTCACGAACACCTGGTATCATCACTATTTCATAGTGATTCATAAATGCATGATCTGTCATCGTATTGCATGGTGACAATCACTGGAGTGTCTGGTTCAGACGCGATTTGTTTACAAAACACATCACACAGCTGTAATACTGCTGAAACAAGTATATGCTCATAATATAGTCACAATTGTACAATTCATTCTGCTTTAAGGAAAGATTTCTTATGAATATGGAAAGGATTTTGTCGTTTCTATTGGACCAATCGGTGTAAACATACTATGAATAGTCAAATCATACTAGTCTGCTCTTACCTTATGTGACAATGAAATGATTACCCAAGGAGAAACAATATTCAACTTGAACTGCTTCTTTGAGTGGCATTTTAGAAGTTGGGAAGTACAATATAGAACAAACTTTACGGATAACAACTTCTTTTTATTCGTGAGTTCGACGTTTCGATACAGATTCTTTATCCGTTGTCAAGCATTATGCTTGACAAAGGTACAAGAATCTGTATCGAAACCTCGCACTCAAATGACCGTTGTCAAGCATTATGCTTGACAACGGTACAAGAATCTGTATCGAAACGTCGCACTCACGAATAAAAAGAAGTTGTTATCCATAAAGTTTGTTCTATATTCTGCAAGTTTTCTTTTGGTGAAGTCCTGGTGGTTTTTCGATAATGTCTCTACATTGTCCCAAATTATGTTGTGATTGGGAGAGTTTATGATGTGGTCTGATATTGCTGGTTTTCGGTCTGATTTAGTGGTAGATGATAAGTGTTCTTTGATTCTGATATTTAAGGGCCGGGAGGTTTCACCTACATAGGCCTCGCCACAGTCACAGTTCAAATCCGGAGACACAAGCCCTCAATCAACAGAGACCAGTGGTATCTTATCCCATCTGCATATAATGAACTGATAAAAACAACAGATTAGAACACTCCAGCTATCATTGCTAATTAATTTTATCTGCCATGTATATTTTGTTTCTGCCTCAAGCACCATTGGCTTCCTCCTATTGTCACTACATTATTACCACCATCCATTGTTGTTGTTAATCCCCTTGATTCATACCTACATGTTGTTATTACTTAATTCCTGTTGATATATACTGAGTCAAAAAGAAACTTCACATTCTTTCTTCGGGGCACTATACAAGAACAAGAGATGGTAAGATGGTTAAATTGTTATTATTTCATTGCTGAGATCTGTGTGATGTACTCGATACACTGACAGTGCCATAATCAGTTCCATTAGGCTACACCGCTGTTCCAAAACATGGGTATACAGAAGTCAGAAGAATAAAAATGCGAAATTTCTCAGTTCAATATCGTGTATGGCCGCCCCGCGCATTCACCACTGCCAAACACTGTCTCCTCATCGACTGCCTGATGCTTGTGAACACGTGGTTGGGGATTCTGCTCCATTGCTCTTGCAAGGCAGCGCCAAGTTCCTGCAAATTCTGAGGTTGGTTCCTAAGACCACGAAGCCTTCTCCCAAGTGCATCCCAAACGTGATCTATTGGATTAAGGTCAGGGGACCTCGATGGCCAGTCCATGACGTTGATTCCAGCGTTTTGAAGGAAAATTCGTGTCAACATCGCGGTATGCCGCCGAGCATTATCATGCTGGAACTGTAGACCTGGGCCATGACCTGCCATGAAAGGAACAAGTTCAGGGGTGAGCACCTGGTCGCGGTAAGCAGCAGCTGTGAGGTTTCCACGGATGACCAGAAGTCGGGAACGGTTGTTTCCACAGAAAGCACCCCATTCGTAACTACTCGCCTCTTTCCGTGACCTGCAAGAAGACTCGTACCCTATCGTACGCCATTTTTGCCAAGAATCGTGGCAAACCAATCAAATCGCGCGTAGTAAAACGTATTTTGAAGCATGAAAATGGTGGCACCGTTGAAGTGTGAAACTTCGCTAAACTATGCAAAGCACAATTTAAACATAAACTTTGAGCTAAAAGACCAGAAACTTCAAACACTGAAACATATTTACAAAGGGAATGACTGTATTGCTGTTTTGCCCACGGGATATAGGATATTCAAGGAGCCATGTTTTTTGAAATTCAGAGTTATCTTTCCTTGGTAATAGTGCTATACTATTTTCATCTCCATGCCCGTTAGGGCTTAGACAGAGGCCCAGTCGTAAACATGGCCACGAGAGGGTACGAGACGCCATCCGGCTTGCCGGAATGACACGAGTAGTTTCGAATGAAAGCACCCCACACCATCCAACTTCCGCCCCCGAACCTGTCGACTTCCTGTACACAACATTGGGCATACCGTTCACGACGTCGTCTCCAGTCTCTATGCCTGCCGTCCGCGAATCTGAGGGTAAACCTGGATTCATCGCTAAAGACGACTCGATTACAGTCTCCCCCTGGGTCCATCGGAGGTGACGTTGGGCCCACAGCATACGTTGACGTTGATGAAACGGCGTCAATATTGGCCCACGATATGGACGTCGAGAATGGAGATTGGCAGCCCGCAACCGATTTCGAATGGTCTGTGAGGACAGTCGACCTCTAAACATCTCAGCCCTGGTTCGTGTAGCCGGCAGAAATCTGTCACGTAGGTGACGTAGGACGATTTGACAGTCTTCTGCTCGTGACGTCACACGTGGACGACCCGACCTTGGGCGATCAGAAGTGGTGCCAGTTTGTTGTAGACGACCTCGCAAGTCATACACAGTACGACGGCTGCATCCCATTGCTCTTGCGACGTCAATAACTGATCTTCCCAACGGCACGTTCACGTTGCACATTTGACAATCGTGGCATTTCAAGTACCGTTAGAACTGTGGTTTAAAAGTGTTTTTTCAATTCTTGAGGCCAATGCAAACACGTGCATATGAAGAAAACTTTGATGCGAAGATCACGTGATCGACTGCACGTGCAAAACCTGATTTGGCACTAACGTCATTTGCACGACGAATGGATGAGTCTGAGTGGGTTGTGCTAACGTTTTTCTAGAGTCGAAAGATAGGGATCCCATTTCGGATACATAGATGTATCATCAGAGAAATATTATTCATTATTTTCAAATTACATTTTGTGAAGTTTCTTTTATGACTCAGTATATATAAGTCTGTTCTGTGCTGTAGTATTTCTCTCTTGCTTGACTACGGAATATTAATCCATACCGAAACGTTGCATCATATATAATAAAGAAGTTGCTATACATAAAAAATCTAACTTTCTTATTATAGGTATGGTTAAACATATAGAGGTGGTTATTATTTTCCAAGAGTGCAACACATGGAAACCTACGATAATGAACTGATAGCATTCAGGTATTTTAAAAGGAAGGTGGGAAAGAAAAAGGCAGAAAACTCGCCAACACCATCCCCTTAACAACAACCGTGACTTACCTTTTCAGTGTCTGTAACAGTGTCATGTGTATTAATGCAAGCGAGAGGAAGTATTTATAGTTTTCTACCTTTAACCCACTCCGGTCCATAATTCCATTCAGCCAATCACCATTCTATACATGGCAGTTTAAACCGTTTTAATATACACCGCTCTTCTACTACACTCGTTCACCTGGTAGTAGTTCACCTGGTTCGATATGACAGGGCATTCTTCAGGGTAACTTGCTTGGTTACTTTAATGTATGGGTACCGATGTCGGATTGGTTACAAACGCTCTCAACCTCATAAGGTTTCTGTTCTAGGCAACAAATGTAGATACCTGTATATAAACAGGATTTTATGCCTCCTTTCCAGCAATAGGACGGAAGCGCAGATATGTATCCTAAAATGAGCCAGATATGAACGTAAAGCTTGGTCAATTGTCATTCTTTGCTAATTCAGAGATTTCGTTTATGTCGAACCTTGTATAACTCGAAGTATTTTCGTGGGTCCCTTCAACTTCGACACAACGACGTTTGATTGTATGTTCGATACAATTCCAGGCAATGATAAGGTGTGGCGTATGGTCAAGGGACGACAGTTCGAGTTAAAAATAAAGCTCTGGGACTTTCAAGATGAAACGATCACATAAAGTATCTTGCACATATTGTTTTTGTCACTTTTGAAAAAAATTATATAATGCTACAACTTGAATGAATGGTCACATCCATGGCGTCCTACAGACACCATCTTAAAATGGCTGTCATTACGGCCATATTAGAAAAACTAATTCGGCATTATATTATGTTTTTCAGATGTTATTACTGGGGTAATACTGTCATTGGCAATGGGAATTACAAATTAGCAGGGGCGGTGGGGTAGCCTAGAGGTTAAAGCGTTGGCTCGTCACGCCGAAGACCCGTGTTCGAATCCCCACATGGGTACAATGTGTGAAGCCCATTTCTGGTGTCCCCCACCGTGATGTTGCTGGAATATTGCTAAAAGCGGCGTTAAACCAAAATCAGTCAGTCAGTCAGTACAACTTAGCACAAATGGCAAATGATATCTTATATTGCATCCTGTTTTACCCTGCTACAAGAAATTATCTGCAAACACTGTTGAGCATGATGTACCCTTTCATATATAGGAACCCTGGATACAAACTTGAACATAAACGTTTCTAGCAGCACGAGGGGAGGTTGTGGCGAGGTGGACGTAATAAACTTGTCATTGTTTTAAAATGTTTCAAAAGCCAAATTTTACAATAGAAGCGACAAAACTCTTTCCACATTCATAAGAAATCTCTGCCAAAACAGAGTCGATTGTACAATACTGGCTATATCATGAGTAGAGATTTCTTTCTGCAGTATTACAGCTGTATGATGTTGTTTGTAAACAAATCGGGTCTGAACCAGACAATTCAGTGATTGTCACCATGCGATACGATGGCAGAGTATGTGTTTATGAATCACAATAAAATGTTCGCGAACGGGTTAACGTATCCTGCCCCACTTGTGGCACCCGTCATAAACATGTGCTAAGTCTAGTTATTTGTTAACCTGAAATAATTCGGGAACGTTTTGTATAGTTCAAAACAGGGAATTGCTTTGCACATAATTTTTGTTACTGATGCATCAAAATTGAAAATTCCTCGACGTGTCTACCACAAAACATTCTAAAATCTAAAATGAGCTTTATGTTATTCAAAATGTTATTCACAATGTTATTCACAAGTCTGTTCTAAGCATCATAATTGCACTGTACATCGTTGCACCTTCATTCCTATTATTGACACTACTCTTCACCATAAGGTTGAAGCATCACAGTAATTTCCTCATTATTCAGGTGAGCTACAAAGCAATGTGGCTCAATTCATTCTTCATAACATAAATTAGAATCCGCAAGTTTTCCTGACGAGGCGCTGCACATAAACATTCACTTGAGCAGAATCCTAAAACCATATTTTTGTTGTTGTTAGATAACATAATAGTATTCATCAGATATCTTTTTGTGGCGTGTTTTATTACTAACTCTCATTGTCAAGTTTGAAGGAAACACCTGCTGGTGGAGTACATATATTACTCATCTTCATTTGTAGCCCATAAACGTCATTTTCAAGACGAGGGCAGTTAGTACGATCCTTTCCATGTCCAATTCCTACTGAAATTAGACACGAAATTATTTTTTCACGCCAATGGTCATGACATGAACATTTGAAAGGTTGTGATATGATGTATGGTAAATACGTAATACAATATAAGCTGTTGACGTTCTCAAAGAACAATATAATCCACAAATCAGTCAAATAAAATGTGTTTTTCTTATTAATGACATGAACGTCGTTCCATTTATTGAAATGAACTACTAATGTAGTATCGTATTACGCGTTCCTCGAACTATCAATGACTGGTTTGTCTGGGCGATGAAGTATTGCTGAATGTGACGTTATATAGGAAAAAGAAGATTTTTTATGACCTCAAAGAGCATGGCTGTGCCAGGTGCTGTTCCTTGTTATGGTGCCATGTCTTGAAATACATGTATACATGTTGGTGAAACGTATTTAGAAAGATGCTTAACGTATTTAGAAAGATGTTCTTTTTAAACAATTACTGCCTGTAATGGCACTGTTTTACTGTCTATTTTAATGTTTTCTTACAGATGAGCAGAACTTATTTACGTTTGCGTGGGTTCCTGATAATGTCATAGATGGAACAATAAACCCATCCGCATGGAATCACGAATGAAGTTTTTGTGTCCGTGCGTCGTGCAATGGTGTACACATTTGATCAAATGATAAGGTATTATTGAACTTATTTCTTTCTGAAATTGTGAAAAGATCTAATCACATCTTTTGGGTGTTTGAGAATCAATAGCGAGTCGTTTTGTGGAACATTTTATTATCGCAACTGCAAGTTGCTTTGAGAGGTGTCATCATCCACCTGTTAAGGCGAAACCAGGTGGCTCGTTCTTCTAAAGTGCTGCTATCAGTTTTGCTGATTCAGGGACCCATAGTCGTGGGTGGAATTCCGCTTGCCCTTATGTTTTCAGATTTTTCGATTTTTCAGCATCATCCCCATAGAGACAGACACACAATACTTTATTACCTTGAAAGGAATTCGTTTTGGTTCACAGAGCTTGACAAAAATACAAATGAATAAAAACATGAAAATATGACATTTCTAAAAACATAAAAAGAGATAAATATGTGCTTAAATATAATTAAACGAATAAGATGAAACCTGGACATTCAACATTTGTTTAAAACTGCAATACTTTGAAGTACAAAAGACGTTCGAGCTCGTTTAGTCTTGGTGGATTGGCACTGTGTAGCGGCGGCCCGAATGTAAAAGCTTATGCTCTAGATTTAAAATGAGTGAGTGAGTGATTTTAGTTTTACGCCGCACTCAGCAATATTCCAGCTATATGGCGGCGGTCTGTAAATATTCGAGTCTGAATCAGACAATCCAGTGATCAAAATCATGAACATGGATCTGCGCAATTGGGAACCGATCTAGATTTAAAAACTGTGTTGTGTCATTAATGATTTTGTCAGACGTTGAAAGTACTTGCCGCTCATACAGACGTGAAAGATTGTCGAAACTGACCCCGGCTATTTTACAAGATGTATTTGCAATTTTGTTAAATTAGGATTTGTTTTTGACTAAAACACGTAATATTACCAAAGTCCTTCCTCATGTTGAGCATTCCTTCCACAGCAAACTTAAATCTTGTTTAAACAAGTGTTAAACCCCATCAATGAGTCTCTTCATATCGATGGAAATAGTCTTTGAAGAACCAAGACTAGAATGACATTAACCCCCATAGTTCAAGACGTTATCATTAAAGGACGGTGCTCAATGAGATGAAGTAAGGAGTGGTCGGTTCGGAGTCAGTAAAATGTTTTACATGTCTATGTCCGTCTCCTGCATTGGAATGAATGAATGAATATTGCTTTACGCCGCATCAGAAGATTTCAAAATGTGGACATAGAAAGAACAGCAACAAAAAGGATGGTCAAAAAGACATTTTATAACATCAGTCATATATCACAGATAAAGCAAAAATTGACAATTTTGCTAAATGCTATATGTTTCATAAAGACAAATTTCTTTTAAAAAATGATTAAATGTTACGGCAAGAAACTTGTGTAAAGAGTTCTTTCAAATTAAAAACATTAAAATATGTTCCACGTATCAATCCACATAGTGTAAAGGTATGTGTGTCATGATATACTGCCATTGACAAGGAATACACATAGGAGCATCATTGTCATTTAAACGGAAATAATGAGTAAAATGTGAATGTCCTATACGCCATCGTCTTAAAACAACATCATCTCTTCGATAGCGAGCACCGATACTGTTACCACTTATTGTTGGTTGAATATCATTTGACTTGTTCGTGGCTTGTTGATGCCAATTTGACTGTCAACATTAATTAACATGCTGCCTTCTAACAGGCTTGACATCAGTATAAGGAATGTTGGTGGGTTTAACTGTTTGTTCAAGAGCAGCCTTTGCTGCAGCATCAGCTCTACTGTTTCCTGGTATGCCAGTATGGCTTGGAAGCTAACAGAAAATAACATCATTATCGGCTACTGATAATTTCAGGCGCAGGTCTAATATTTCAGCCAGGAAAGCGTGGTCACATTTCCGACCATTTATTGCATGCAAGCTGGATAAATTGTCAGAACATGATAAATTGTGTTTTTCATTGGATGCATTTATTTTCTGACATAACAGACGCTTAGATTAATATTTCAACAGTGTCTACAAAAGGGATGACACCATTCTGCAGTGGAGTTGTTTATTCTGTTCCATACAATTTATGCACGTATATATAATTTGAGCCATCTGAGACTTCAAGCTGCATTCAAACATGACTACATCACTCAAACGCAGCATACTGACTCCGATAATTCTCTCATTTCAGACAGGGCAAGAAAAGTACCACCCTTTAACATCTTTTGATAGCAGCGGCTGTATCCGGTAAGCTAAAAATAACAAGTACAAATTTTGCATGCGAGTTATTTATACGTGAGAGGAAAAAGTGACTGAAACCGCAGGACGAAGCGGTATTTTGAAAAAAAATCCTTTCATGCTGGTGTGCGTTGCATTAATGACGCGTGAATAAACATAAATTTCGCCCCCTACAACGTTGAAGAATGTTGGGATAATATTTTTATGCAAGTGGTTTTGTTCGTAGTTTCACTGTGATCAGCCAGGAACCAGTTCTAGAAATTCATACAACTTTACTCAATTATCATGTTTGTTCATGTTTCAACATTGATACTGACTCTGGCATACCGGTATCTACCATACGGTTAGTGTATATTGGACCGCCTCTGTGGTGTAGTGGTTAGAGTGTCCCCCCGGAGAGCGGAAGGTCGCGGGTTCGATCCCCGACCGCGTCATACCAAAAGACGTTAAAATATGGTACTTGTTGGTCCCTGCCTGACGCTCGGCATTAATGGGTAAAACAAGGACTGGTCGGCTCGGAGTCAGTATAATGTGTCTGAGTGGGGTATTCATGCGTCACTGCAGCATGGTATCTTAGTGGGCTAGCACTATAAAACCAGCTTAAGTCTGGTTTAGTACAAGCAGCCGCACATACACATACACACGCATGCACGTCGTCATATGAGCGAAATATTCTCAAGTACGACGTAAAACCCAATTTCACCTCACCTCACCTGAGTGTATATTGTTTTGTGTTTGAACACTTTCCTCATCCATGAGAAATCGCTGTTGAAAGTCGAACGTACAATTCTGATTATATGACCATATTTGTTCGACTACTATAGTGATGAAACAAGGCATGGGTATCCAGAAATACTTTGGCTTTGAAAACCAAAAGCAATTCTCATTATATCATCTTTCAGACTCCAATGCTGTTTTGTTTGTTGTTTTAAGCCATCAACAAATGTCCAGCTGTCTGGACCAGACAATCCAGTGATCAACAGATTAAGCGTCGATCTACACAATTGGGATATGATGACATGTGTCAACCAAGTCATCGAGCCTGACCACCCGATCCCGTTAGTCGCCTCTTACGACAAGAATGAGTTGCTGAAGGCCAATTCTAACCCGGTTCTTCACGGGAACTTTCCAACACTGACTTAAACAAGAACACACGCAGATGACGTTTAATGACATGTTTATTTGTGTCTGAGTTACATCAAAGGTTCCACGCCTTGCGGAATATCAATGCCGGGCGGAGGTCCGAAAAGATTAGGCGGAGGCCCCAGCTTGAAAGGTTTGCAGTCCTTGGTGTGATCGGCAGCATCTACCAGCCTAATGTCGCATGCATCATTGGCGACAACACATCCTTCCGGTGCCCCAAACAGACCCGCGTTGAACCCAAATCTGTATGTAGATGAAATACAAAGGTCAGTGCAAACAAAACCTCAAAACAATTCTCGATCATCATTCGGAGCAGATTCCACATTGTCTGTACGTTTGTTTGCTTGTTGTTTAACCCCAAACTCAGCAATATTCCAGCTATTTGGCAGCGGTCTAAATAATCGAGACTAGAACATACAATCCAGTGATCAACAGCATGAGCATCGATCGACGTAATTGTGATACGATGACATGTGTCAACCAAGTCAGCGAGCCTGACCACCCGATCCCGTTAGTCGCCTCTTACGACAAGCGTGGTTTGCAGAAGACCAATTCTAACCTGGATCTTCACGGTTACAATGGACTACTGAAAACCAGCGACACCAAGCGAAATGGGTGAGCATATCCCCAGTAGCAACACCCGTCATTCAGTCATAATAAAGTTCCACTTTTAGTTGTTATTTACACAAAGTAAGTCAATTTTATTACACGTAGACATTTATCTGTTTGAGTTTTATGAAAGATACAGGGTGCCTATTCTCGAAAGTGTCCCAGCTAAGACAGATCCTAAGCAGTTAAGACAAGAGTTAGGACATCCTACCGTTAGGATAAGACCCATTCTCGAAGCGATCCTATCCCTGTCCTAACTTGAGCTACCGATCCTAGCTAGGTTAGCGAGCTCTTCAGTAGGTGAGATAGAAAAACCTTCATTAAGTTGGGTATTCCCCTAAATATTACCCATGATTCATTCCATAAAAAACGCACATAATATAAGGAAATTCAGCTTTGGATGGACCTAGTAGATCAAGAAGAAATTATTCTATATTTTCATCACATTATGGGAGTTTTGAAGTTTTTGAAAATTCATATTTTGACAAGGCGATAACAATTTTACTTCAGAATTTGAAAGTCTGCCAAAAGCAATAAGGATATTAAAGATATGTGCAAACAATATTTTCATTGTATTTGTTTTCTTTAATGAAAATCATGACTTATGCGTCATCTCACAAACTGAAAAATTCACCTAGGAAATAAACAGGAGTTACTTCCCCTATCAAGTTGGCCTTGACATTGACATTTCACGGCAATGTGATTAAAAAGGCCGAGAATAGGTAAGAATTGAACAAATCTCTTGTTGATCTAAAGAATGTGTGCACTGCAACAAGTGTGTCTATTCATTGCCAATAAATTGATAATATCAACTCAAAAAACTCTTCGTAACACATCAAAACTGTGTGCTGTTGTAAATTCAAATGATAATTTAGGCGAGTTATTTTGTTTGACATCAAAATTGGTGAACAAACATGAACCACACTATGTTGACTTCCACTAAGATAGACTTAGGACAAGTCAGAACCTATTCTAGTATACTCATGCCAATAATGGTTGTCACCCCCTTCAATTGTTTTAAATGGAGAGGGGTGGGGTGTAAGGTATGTGTGGGGTTGGGGTGGGGAGGGGGGTGACAACCATTATTGGCATGAGTATATTTGTCCTAAGTTAGGATATCCTAGCGCTAGGGTACTTTTCGAGAATAAGGTAGGACACCTATCCTAGATCCTAGGATCAAAGTTAAGATATCCTAGGGCTAGGAATCCTTTCGAGAATAGGGGCTCTGTACTGCGAAATGTGGTAGTTCCGCGTATTTGACCATACGAAATGAAGAACGTTATAATATGTTTGTTTTAAAAAATCCCCAACAACCCCAAGCCAGAACACAATTCCTTACCCCTCGCAGAACATTCCGCTTCTGGTACATTCACACTGCTCACAGTCTGTTGTTTTCCATATGGAATCAGGGAGCATCGAGACGTTCTGATATTTACAGTAGACCAACTCCGTTCCGAACTCTGAAGGAAAATAATCTATTATTATGCCTTCTGAAAAAGAGCACTATTTGATTTGATTTAATGTTTCTTTTTAACAAAACACAATATCACTTCTATTATTATGCTTTCTGAAAAAGAGCACTATTTGGTTTAATATTTTTGACAAAACACAATAAAACTTCTGTCATTATGCCTTCTGAAAAAGAGCACTATTTGGATTAATGATATTTTTGACAAAACACAATATAACTTCTGTCATTATGCTTTCTGAAAAAGAGCACTATTTAGGTTAATGTTTGTTTTTGACAAAACACAATATAACTTCTATTATTATGCTTTCTGAAAAAGACCACTATTTAGGTTAATGATTATTTTTGACAAAACACGATATAAGTTCCTTTGTCAGCGTCGTTACCGTGCCAGGGTGATATCGGAACAGGACACTTCGAATATATTTAGAAACTCCAGAACTAGATAAGGAGAACCTTTATGGATTGACAACTTCTTTATTCACGTGATGAGACGTTTTGATACAGATTCTTGTATCGCTGTCAAACAGGCAAGGTACAAGAATCTGTATCGAAACGTCGCATCACCTGAATAAAGAAGTTGTCCATCAATAAGGTTTGTCCTTATCTGACAGTCAAACTTCTAACATTGCCACTAAAAGAAGTTACACCAGAACTACTTTTTTCTTTTGTTATGTAAGGATACAGTATGTTTTTCTGGGCAAATCATTTTTGCGCGCCAACAAAGTTTGGATCATTGAAACGAAGACATTATATTTGCAAAAAGTGCAGTCCCAAAAGTTAGGTTGACAGACTATAAATATGTTACATACTGATGAACGCTTCTCAGATATTTCTTACTCAGTGGCAATAGGCTTCACACATCTGGAAAGACAACTAGGGAGCACTGGGTTTTTACTACGATCATAGTTTTATAACGGACATCAGATAAGTGATACAACTCAACAATGTATTCTCTTTGATAGTTGCCCGACATGCAACGCGTTTAGCCGAGTGAAAGAGTATGACTTCAACTCAGATTAACAATAGCTCAGATATCAAAGGATGTGGACCCTTGAGTCCATTCCTCACATGGGTACAATGTGTGAAACCATTTCTGCTGTCCCTTTCCTTCATGTTGCTGGAATATTTCAAAACGCGGTGTGAAATAATATACACTCCCTCCCTCTCAGTAAGTATCAGCGCGATATGGGAAAAAACATCAAAGTGACGTAGACCTCCAGACATTTTCTTCTTAGGACAAATCTGCGGGAACTGGTATGGTGCTAACAAAGTTTCAAGCAGTACCAAGTAAGTCTTGCCTTTTTGAACGATAAACGGTATAATCGAAGATGGGAAAAATTATTAATGAGTATCGATGTGAAAATTATGTCATCGATAATATCGTATATTAACTTTTGTGATAGATTATAGTTATAATTTCCTCACACAATATAAAAATTTAAGACTTCATTTATGGTTTGCCTTTAAATTATGTTCAGGACGCTGTTTTGTTAATAATCCATGCAAAACATGTCACCACTCACCGGTGATGTGAAATGTATTTATTTCTTTTAGATATTTTGGTATCTCTTCTCAAAGTTACGTTTTCGTTATTTATCGATTATCGATCGATATTTGGTTAATGATTATCGATTTGCATGATCTATATCGATAGTCAGCCCTAGTATCATGAACGGGATTCGATGATAATGACGCGTAAGATATCATTGTATCAATGGTGGTACCTCAAACCACTGTGCAACCCGCGCCCAATGTGATCATAAGTAAATTAATTCAGTGCGGTGTGACCTGAAAGAGTGAGAACCTGTTCTGTTGGTCATGGTACTATACTCACGGTTAGTCTCTCTTGTAGGCAGTTCCAGATAGCCATACCCTTGGGTCGATACGACCACGCCAAGAAGAAGGAGAAGTGCTCTCAGGAACATGACGTTCAGATGGATCTTCTCTAGACAACAAGAAACTGGTTCAACTGAGAAAAAATGTTATTGGAGAAATCGGTATTATGTTTTCGGATGTTACCATGACTGGGAAAGTCATTATATAAGATTTACTTGTCTGCTAAATATTATCCTATTTGTTTACCTGAGAAATGTTTTCACGCCAAGAACTTGGAACTAGGCGTGAGTGAGTCGCAATTAAATCAAAATGAATAGTGTAATGCCTGTCATTCAGGGCCTAGATTTTCGAAGCTCTCTTAGCGCTGAGATAGTCGTAAGTTAATGTTAATGTATGGCACTTACGACTATCTTAGCGCTAAGAGAGCTTCGAAAATCTAGGCCCAGGTTAGGTCTGTTCTTCAGCAACCAATGCGACTACGGGATCAGGTGGTCCGACTAGATGACCTTGTTGAGGCCATATGTTCCCTTTTCGCCAGATTCAACTTGCAATGGAATCATATTACCTGTACAACTGCAGAAACAAAGCATTTTCAACCTGATAAAAAAAGTTTGCATTGTTGAAATAATACACAAGTCAGTGATATAAGTGTGATTCGCCTCATGAGAGTAAATATCTAATCTGCCGGCTTATCACGAGGGAAATACAGCTTGATGTACTTTCTTGTGTGTACCCGAGCATACCCGAGATGGAGATGCACATCGTTCATTGCAATCTTGTCAGGCTTTGGATCTTTCTGTTTAAAGGCTCTGTGCATTAAGGACATCAAACCTGTGTACATTCAGCAACAGCGCTTCTCTCTAAAGAGGTTGAATTGCCGATATTAGAAGGTCGAATTTTTTTTGCAATCAATATTTTATTGCTGAATCCCTGGCCCTCTTGGAGAATAAAGAATAAGGAAGGATTCAGAGTTTTTAACAAAATACAACTGCCACACACATATCCATACCAAAAGTACACACAGTAGAAACATGCATACAGAAGATTTACATGAATAGTGATGATAAGCTGCTGGTGTGAATACTGGTACACATGTGTACATCACATTCACACTTGACCAAGTGAGTGAGTGAGTGAATTTAGTTTTACGCCGCTTTTAGCAATATTCCAGCAATATCACTGCGGAGGACACCAGAAATTGGCTTCACAACACTTGATCAAGAATATAGCAAATATACCAACCGTTATAATATAACATTATAAAAGATGGACATGGCTGGACTCTTGTAGAGAAAGGAAAAGAAGATTAAGTAAGGTCGAAAAATAGTTTGTTGCCTTGACGGTGGCGTGTATTATTTCATTAAAGTGGTTTACCGAAAGTTATGAAAATGTCATTAAAATTCAGTTGTATTAAATTTAAGGTGATGAAGAAACAAATAGCCTCCTACAAGAACTGTGACTTACCTGATCAATGTCTGTGGATTGTCCTGCTACCACCAGGAACTCTGCAGTATTTATAGTTTACTGCCTATGGTCTGGAATTTCATTCAGCCAATCGCCATCCTTCACCTGACGGGCAAAATGTTTGAATATTGACTGCGCAGCTATTTGTTCACCTGGTTGGGAATTACATAGAATCATCTGCTATACCTTGCATGGTTTTTTTATAGTGTTTTCGTGTCGTATTTAATATTGCTGAATAAGGCGTTGAACAAACAAACAAACAAGCAAGCGAACGAGCAAACAAGCAAGTAAACATGAACGCATGCTCAATATAGTCACAATTGTACAGTCGACGCCGCTTTTTGCAGAATTTTCTTATCGATGTGGAAATTGTGCTGACGCTTTTATCTATGGAAGTTAACGGAGGTATGAGTTGTACTCATTTTCGTTGAAACGCTGCCGAAGTTATGTTAAATCAATGAAAACTCATTTTTCTCTTGCGATGAAGAACTTATGTGTTTGCCTTGCGCTGAAATTCTCACTGTCGAGCATATTTTGGTTTACTGTGTGGACTTTGCAATTACAAGAGAGTCACATTATCAAGTACAGTCCGTTTGGCTCAAAAGCGGACCGATGAATTGCAATCTAACTCGAAAACTAATAAACATAAAATACTCAATGAAACGCTGATCATAATCAAACATCATACCCACTCTGTGAGGTTTTTGAAGATTTTTTGTTCTAAAAATAAAAAAGTTGTTTAACAATCTATCATTAAAATATTGACACAGTTCACTGTTTGTTACAAGGGAGGAGCAGAGAAAGGGACAGCCAGATGTTCGAGAAGCACGTTCACAGACAAAGTTATTTATTCATTAACCTGTGCTGTGCCGTCTTCATCCGTTCTCGAACATCTGGCTGTCCCTTTCTCTGCACTCCTCCCTTGTAACAAACAGTGAACTGTGTCAATATTTTAATGATAGATTGTTAAACAACTTTTTTATTTTTAGAACAAAAATTCTGCAAAAACCTCACAGAGTGGGTATGATGTTTGATTATGATCAGCGTTTCATTGAGTATTTTATGTTTATTAGTTTTCGAGTTAGATTGCAATTCATCGGTCCGCTTTTGAGCCAAACGGACTGTAGTAAGCCTGGAACATCTGTTACCCGTGTGCGCTGGAATCTTATAATAAATATCTTGAAAGAAACCGGTCTGTATCATGAACTGGGAATATGTATGTGTAACTAATTTTGATTTTAAGTATGGTCTTCAAAATAAGTAGGTTCACGTCATTTTTATTGTACGGTTGAAAAAAATTGGGAGATTTTGATATGATGATTATGAGTGTTTTGAGAGTGCATCACCACTTGCACTTCCTTATCACCATATTTGTTTGTAATCTCTCTTGAAATATTATTGTGTGTGACGTGAAATTTGAAGGTGTACGATTTTCACTTTCAACCCACCCCAAAAAAGAAAAAAAAAGGAAAAACCCGGCTAGAAAAAACACAATCGACTGTGTGATGCAAGATGATTGTCAAAATTAATGGTCTACAGTGATTTATCGACCGTCTTGAAAACCGCCAAAATCAAGAATGACACCCCCTGCACCTGTATGGGGCTATTGCGTTTTGCACGTGCATCCCATGCGTTCTGTTTAGGGGTGGTGATAAAGAGAAATGGTGTTGCGTTCATAAGATCCCTGTCTTTGAAAAGTTCCTATCCAAATTGAAAGTTCAGGTTCCCCTACTTTTTTATGAGTATATTTATATTTATTTGAGGCATCATAACTCACGTGCCTCTTACTGCATTCAGTTTGAATCGCAATAAAACAAACATAACCAGGTGAGCAAATTCTGTCCAATTCACCCAACATATAGAGAATCTCCCCGAGTGTCTTCTGATTCTATTTATCATCAAAAATCATTCTTCATTAGTTTTCAATGAAAAAATGTACATCTTTGTAGACTGTACTACCATAATTTATACTTGCGGAGCAGCGATGTCATGACGTCATAACATTGTCAGGGCATTGTACAAAATCTACTGTCAAAACGATATCGTTTGATGTCAAACAAGCAATATCTCCTGTGGAACACAGTTTTGGATGATAAAAAGTGATTAACAGTCCGTCGTTTTCCGCTTTTCATGCACACAATCATTTGAACATAGGCCCTAAATATTTTTGTTGGACGTCAACATGAATAAGATCGACATGATAATGTTTCGGGATAATAAAACAAGAGAGACAGGTGTATTTTGAAAATGTCGGTGTCAAGTTTGAAGGAAAACCTTCAGGTAGAGTACATATATTAATCATATTTTATTTGTAATGCCACGATATCTTTTTGCCTTCAATATGAAGGCATATTGTTACATCCATATTGTCAGAATTGTGCTGAATTTAGACACTGCACATTCTTTTATGTCGGCATTTGTGCAATGAACACTCTGATGTATTGTAACGGCAATACGATACTGACTCTGACGTAATTATGACTATGTCAATTCATGACATTTGCTAATAACATGTTATGGGTCATCTTAGCCTGGGGTATCCTAATGGTTAAAGCGTTGGCTCGTCACGCCGAAGACCCGGGTTCGATTCCTGGCATGGGTACAATGTGCGAAGCCCATTTCTGGTGTCCCCCGCCGTGATGTTGCTGGAGTATTGCTAAAAGCGGCGTAAAACCAAACTCAGTCAGTCAGTCATCCTAGCCCGAGGGGCGGTGGGGTATACGTAGACAAGTGGTTAAAGCATTAGCGTGACGAGCGAACGCTTTAAACCCAAGGCTACCGCACCACCCCCGCTAAAGAATTAAAAAGGTCCGGTTATTCGAAGAATAGAATGAAGTCAACGTGTACCGAAGAGTCTTGTCATCTGTAATTACTTAACGTAACTAAAACTAAAGGAGACATTTTGGCTTTAGACAAAAGAACCGTGTTTGTACCATGTGTGAAGCCCATTTTGTGTCCCCGTGATATCGATATATCATTTAAAAAACATTATTAAAACGCATTATTCTTTACCCAGGGCAAACACTTGTTGTCTTTACACATTACATCCAGTGTAACTCTGACGCCTTTTCGGATCGGTCTTGACCATTCTCTGCTAAATTATGACACATGTGTTACAAGGCACATAACTCACTTGAATCTGTTTGGTTTTTACTCGCCTTTTGTGTTGAAAGGGGTTTTTTTTTAGACTTTATTGACAACGTTTTGCTGCATATTCCATTGTGTGTTTTTGGTGAATGATTGTCTTGCTTTTGCATATGTTTGAGAATACGCCGAATTTACACGAACTTATGCATAACTCATGGGTATGGTCAGAAACATGCAACTCTGCTTTCTGTGAACCAAAGCGACGAAATATTCTCATCATCATTAGCAATCACTACTAAAAGCAGAGTTCACCCTCTATACCTACAATAACAGGAACTTCTGTCCATGAATCACAACCAAATACTAATTTGTGTCAGGTTTTCGTGAATTGGTGGTCGGAACCTGACACATCGACAAACTGGATACAAAACACACGCAAGGGCAAGTCAAATGTTCGGTCGAAGAAACGAACATAAAAACCTATGTAAAGGGTCATTTTGGGGTATTGCATCTGACATACGTTTTATCACTAAGGCATCCTGTGGCGCCTATCGGCTAACATTTCTAGCGAAGAATT